CCCCCAATGCATGCCCCCTAGCACCCTACCGTCAACAGCGCCCCAATCCGCAAAAACCAGCACCCCAAACTGCACGCCCCTTAGCACCAGCCCATCAATCTCACAAATCACTTCCCCCTCTTTATTAGAAGTTAGAACCCCTGTAGCTTTCAGCTGTCTGGGGAATAAAAAAGGCTTCAGCGCAGTGAGCTTGTACGCTTTACATGCGTTGGCCATATGGATGAATGTTAGGAAGCCTATTTGTTCTTCCTGTGTGGGGCACGATTGTCGAGACCAGCAATTGTGATCCAGTATTGTTGCGCGCCTGCCTTCTGAAAGATTGCCAAAACAACCCAATCAGTCTGACCAGGTTTCTCTTGCAGTTCCCTCAGATTGTTTGATCAAAAATGCGCAGCCAAGAGATCCCTCAAAAGGCAGGTTGTCTTTGTTTGTGTCAATCAACTGTGTCTTTTGAAAGAGATGTCTTGAGCGACGACAAGAGCACTCTGTATATCATTCAGAGAACATGTGGAATGTGTTTGAAATTGCTCTTGCATCCGTGTAAGCTTCTTCGCAAGTCACGTAAGCAACGCGTAAGGTCAGCGTGATTTACCTCACGCAAGCTCCTTGCAGGTTTTATTTTCACGCTCCGCGTGCCGGCTCGCGTGCCAGGGAAAGTCCTTGAGGAAAAACCAAGCCATGCGCGATGGTGGACGGCTGGATGAAGGGTGGGTGGATGGATGGGTGGATGGATGGGTGGATGAGTGCATGGGTGGATGGGTGGATGGATGGATGGATGGACGGACCGCTTCGATGGATGGAAGGCATGGCGTTGGATGGCATGGATGGATGGATGGATGGATGGATGGACGGACGGACGGACGGACGGATGGATGGATGGTTGGTTGGTTGGTTGGGTGGTTGGTTGCGTGCGGGCAGCCCGCGCCCGCGCATTGCGCAAGCGCGTGTGTGCGGCGCGCGCGCGCGCGCGCGCGTGAGTGTCATCAGCAATGTCTTGCAAAGGCTGGCGCCAAGCTCCAGTTGGGGGAAGGCTCAAAACACTGTAAATATTCAGCAACTCGGCAGCATTGACAGCATTGTTGGCACTTTCGGAAGCCCCTTGTGGTTTGCGCATCGCCTGCATCCCTTGCATCGGCAGCAAGGGTCAGTCGGAAGGCAAAGGGACCGGCCCAGACCAGTGTCCTGCAACTAGCCGGTCCTGAAACCGGTCCTCCGGTCGCAAAACCGTGCAAGGACTGGTCCTGGAATCATGTGCGTTCGGCTGTGTCCGCCAAGGAGAAAATCACCAGGATTCCAATCACTTGATTCCAATTGCATCCCACGCCGGTCCCCTTTACAAGAGGCTAGCACGGGAGGCAGAGGGTCGTCGGATTTGGTCAGACCCTTTTTTCGGCTCAGATTGCCCGGACAAGTATTGAGAGCAACCAAAGCTTTTTCAACCATGACATACTTAACATACATATGCGCATGTGTGTGTGGTTCGAAATATGTTTGATGGGTTCCTGATCAGGAAAGCATGTGGAGCTGTTTAACAGCCCATGGGCCCGCGAAAAGCCAACTCGGAAGTCTGCTTAGATTGGCTTGGGATCGGTCATGCGGCATTGACAGCTCTCAAAGCTTTCGAGACTTCAACTTAATCTGGCTCCTTGCAGGCTGTTGGTTGCAGTAGTACCTATTGGGCCCGAAAGGCTTCAATTTTGAAAATATCTGAATTGTGTGCGGTAGTCAGAGAATATGTCTTCAGGCCCGACATGTTTGCCCGTGAAAGAAACTTGTCACACTTCGAACAGATTTTCCGTCCTTGCATGATCAATTCCGTTGAATACGCTGTCCCCATAGGCGAACCAAGGTTAAGCATGGTTAAACTCTACACGCACACCCACAGACCCACCAACCGACCGACCTACCGACCTACCCACCCACTCGCGTCCTTCGAAAGAAGGAGGGCTGGCTTTCCCACCCACCGCCAAGTTCGTGGCACTTCCACTTTCAGCGGTTAGCAGGTGATCCCTTCAGTTCAACCGTGGCTGCAACCCAACAGATTCATTGCAGTTGTCCGCATCCCCCAAAGCAAAATCTAACAAACCCTGTATGTGGGCTCAAGTTGGCGTGAATCCCTGGCACGCCGCTTGTACATATGCTTTAAGCTGATGCTTAGATGCGTCAGTACACTTGCCTTTTGCTTGCCATTGGCAACTGAAGCAGCTGCAGATCAGTGCGAGGATGAGCTGAACATCACACATGTCAGCCTTTTGCAGCAAGGCATAAGCCTTAAGAAGAGACTCTGTGATAGCATTAAAATGCCGCCAGTAGCTTCTGTGCCACACAGCGTCCAAGACCGCTTTGTCTACCTGCTGGCAGTGACCAATGACAGTGCCACGAACCCCCACAGCTATCGCTATGCGGAGCGCCGCAACTGGCGGGAGCGCTGGACCCCTTCAGGCTTCATCTCGTATTGGCAGTCTGCCAACAGCCCGGAGGCTGATTGGGACAGTCAGGACATGGGCACGACCAGCCAAGATCCAAGGAGCGTGGAGTACAACGCAACGATGCGGTCAGTCTGTGGAGAGATGGGGTGTCGCTCCTCCATGTGGCACAATGGCCTGTGGAAAGGCCACCGCTTCTATCTGAATTTCTGCTGCTGGCCGGACCTTGTTGGCAACCAGGTTGAGTGGGAGGGGGGCCAAGTGGATTCTGAGCTGGTGGCTTATGGCTGGGAACTCATCCAGGCAAAGGGTGGCGGCATGGAAAAATTCCCCGTGGTGGAAGTCCCTTCAGGGCCCTCGACGCAGCGCTGCCCCTGGGGGAAGCCCAAGTGATATTGACTTTGTACAGCAAGTGTTTAGCTTTGAACGTGTGCATTGTGGTGCATGGGAAGCGGGACTGGACTTGGGCGGTTGGAGGGGGGCCTCCTGAGCACTATGATCATCATGACATATCATCCAGAGCCGGTGATGGCTGTATGTTTGACCTCAGGTTCGGTGTTGGCATCAAAACCAACTTGGCCCTTGAGCTTGTTGGCATGGACCTGACCCGGCACAGGTGCCAGTGCCGGCTGGGCAGCCAGGCGCTGGAAATGTACTGCGCATCGGATGTACTTGGCCCCAAGTGAGTCTTGCTGTTGCCCGCAAAATGCAAGTAGCTGGGACAGGGACATGATTCTTGCACATGTGCACCGCATGGCACGGGCGGAAGCGCGCGGAAGGTTTGCGGAAGGGATCCCTTGAAGGTTTGCGGAAGCTTGGTGGTTTGATATGAACTGCTTCAGCTTGTGTGCATGGAAAAGCATGGGGAAGGGATTAGAAGCAGAAAGCTGTGGCTGCATACAATTTGCGCGACGCTTGCTAGATGAGCAGTTGCCAACAACAGGCCAGAAGGACACAAACAGCCGGCGGATTGAACCAGTGGGTAAGCTGAAGCGCTTAAACCCAGACCGGAGCCCAGAAAGCCAATTTACCGAGCCAGAACGGGCCCCCCTTGGCTTGTTGTGATACCTCGTAGGCTGAGGGAGGGCTCCTTTGGCCGAGCCTTCACAAAAGGGGTGACGGGGTGCACAAAGGCTCCTTGTGCCTTTTGGCACAAAGGGGGGTATTCTGATACACCGAGGCTTGTTGTAATGGGCCATTCGCACTCCTCAGGAACATGAAGCACCCCGCTAGTCGGCTACGGTTCGTTGCCAGACGATGGAAGGTCGGGAATCCGTTTGCTTTGCGCTTCTCTAATGTTGAATTCCTTTGCGCGCCGGAAGCATAGCTTGTGGAACGTAGGCCCGCTGAAAGGGATGTGGAATCCGCGGAAGCTTGAATTTGAAGAGAAGAAAACCAACCCTGAAGTGATCGACCTATGGGAAAATAGTGAGCAAATGAGCACACGTACCTTTTGTGTTGACAGAATGCTAGTGTTTTTTGAGCCACAGCCTGGTTGAGTTTTTGCTGGCAAAGGCTCCCCCACTTTGGCCCTATTGTTTAGCTTGAGCAAACCTAGATCATTTGTTCTTTGCTCTTGCAACGTCGAGCGACGAAGTCCCTGTGGGGCCGACCAACTGAGTGTGTTGCATGCGATCTGAGACACTTCCTGAATCATGGATTGCGAAAACGCCAAGATCCTCAGCCCAACCTGGTCTTGTCTTTTGGCAGTTCTCTCAAAGTGGCTGACAAGCTTTTTCTCCAAAGTCCAAAAGATCACAAGAAAAGGCAGTGAGTCTTGTCAATCAAGAGACTTGCCCATAAATGAATCACTGTTTACCTGGAACCCGCGGCTCGCCCTGGCTCGGAGTTTTGGGCCGGTTGGGCTTCGATCTAATTCGGCCAGGCCCCGGCCCCCGGATTTCGAGCTACTTCCGGCGGGGCGACTTCGAGCCCGTGGTGGGTGCGCTCCTTTTGGATGCGGGATGGAGCTCTCGGTCCAAGGAGAATCGAAGCTGACGGAACCTTTTGGGCGTCCCTTTTTGGTCTATTGTCAAGGGCCCAAAGGCTGAAGCTGGCATCTTCAGCTTCTTTGGGCAGGTGAGTGTGAATAGTTTGCCATTTACAGCAATGGAAAAGAAAATGCACCACACGGGTCGTGACACAGTTGAGCTTTCACGAAGTGCACTTTGCCTGGCATGCTTGCGCGCAGGTGAAGCTGGTCTTCCGTACATTGATGACGGGAGCTTGGTTCAACTCAGATCGAGCATCTACTATCCCGTGCATGATATGTTTGGGTGTGTGTGTGTGTGCGTGAGTGTGTGTGTGTGTGAGTGTGTGTGTCTTGTTCATCAATATGTTTTGGTTGAGAATGGTCAGACTGGTTGCAATGCACGACTTATGCAACAGCTATGCCGCAGTCGAATGGATTGTCCAACGGCTGCATACTTCTCAGGCCCCGGATGTTTGCAAGCCGCTCCTGGAGATGCTCAGGCCATGGGATGACTATGTGGGTGCTTGGAAGGTGTCGAGCAGGGAATCAAACAGTAGGCGAACAGAGCTGGGGCATATAAATGTCAGAGTGACAGCATTGCAGGTCATGACATGATGGCATCCGCCTTATTATTGTGACATACTGCAAATTGGGTTTAGCGAGTGAAACAGATCGTTTGCACTTTGAGAACGGCGAACCGCATGGTTGTTGGTCATTGTGGTTATGGAGGGTGTGGTTTCCAGAACAGCAAATGATGGCTTGCTGCATCACCAGCATGCTCGAGCCTTTAGAGCTGTTGCGAGTTCGGCACTGTCAGGATTCGCTGCACTGCTGACTTCGAGAGCCTTGCGGTGGCGCTCAGCTGCTGGGTTGCCAAGGCAGGCTGATTGTTTGCCTCGTGGATGTTGCCCCACTCCAAAGTGTTGTGGCGAGCCGGGAAGCAAGGGTGAGCCCAAATCCTTGTCCAAACAGGAATATTTTTTTGCAGAAGGGGAGTGTCTCCAACTATTTTGCTTATCCACTTCCCTTCCCGCAATCTTGCTTGAAGCAAGATTGCCACCTTGAAGGGATGACCCCATATTTCCGATTCGGTTCTAGGACCAGCCGGTTCGCCTCCATGTTTGCTTCACAAGTGAGAGGGGCCGAAGGCAGCTGGTGCATGTTGCACGAATATGAAGCCTATCCAGTCGTTTTCGCACTGCCCATGCCCATGCCCATCATTTCCGCAAGAAAGAAGAAATGCAACTCAAGTTTGTGTTGCCTTGATTGAACAAACAACTCATCTTCAGCGGACTCTCAAACACGAAAGTTTCTTTGGTTCCGTCGTGCTGCCAGGAGCCGCCACCGATGTGTGCACCAAAGGGGCTGATGCATGCGTGGCCCTCGATTGCTCGCTGTGGTGCATTGATGTAGTATTTGGAGTTTGCCACGATGCTTCAGTTTGGAACTGGTTTGATGTCCACGGTTTGCTTTTTGCGGACCAATGTTCTTCTTTTGTGCTAATCCGGGCTAACCTTATTTGCGTGCGTTTGAGGCATTGCTGAGCCGCGCAATCAGCGAAAGGCGCGGTCTTGCGGAGTCCGGGAGTCAGCGTCTGTTCATTTTGCAGTTCATTGTGCAACCGGAGTGAGCAAAGAGGCAGTGACCCAAGGGGGTGGGAACGGAAGAGCAGGCATCACCTGGAGGGACTACCGATTCCCAACCCCCCGCCACAGGACGGAACGGACAGAAAGGGATGATATACAGAGAGTGCGAGCCCATGACGGACTCGTTTGAAGGGAAAGACGGCCAGAGCCGTACGGCGCAGCCTAGAGGGACTGCATTATTCATTCAGGGTCCCTTGCGCATCCTTGTCTTCAGGAGCGTCGTAAGTGCCTTGCATCAGGTCAGAGAAACAAGCTGGGACGGAAGGAATGAGGTTTTGGAGCAAAGGAAACTTGGGGACTGACCAGCCGTATGACATAGTATATATACATATATATATATACATATATATATATGTATGTATGTAAGGTATACACTGTTGGCCACGTGTGGGTTAGAAAATAGGTTAGAAAGCCTTGAGGTGCGGTGGGAAGCTTGAAGGGGATGGCCCCTGTAAGCGGCTGAGCTGTCTTGGTTTGTTCCTGTTCATGCTCATAGGCATTCATCGCAAACCATGCTTGTGGCTACCTTTTGAACTCAGCAACGCTGCTTTGAGAGTTGGAACTGAATCGAACGAAGACTTCGGCTCAGTGTACATAGACGAAGAATCTGCCATTATGGCAGAGGAGTGCAGGCCCAACAGTGTTTCTGCGTTAAACAACAACCTTGCAGTATGAAGTGAATTTCAGCCTAGCCGATACATTGATAACAACGCGGGTCGGGTGTTCTACCTGAGTGAGCAGCAATCAAGAACTGTTGGCCGGTGTGTGATTTGTGGCACTTCTTCATGATCTTGTCCTGAGCAGGCCAGCAGCCTCCTTGCATTCACCTCAGTGCAAAGATTCATCCCATGGAGAGGAATGCAGGAAAGGGTCAGGGCTTGGCAGCAAACCGGATATTTGTTTCCTGGTGGAGGCATGCTTGGGACATGTCAGGACCATTTAGCTAATATCGGCTGATGTCAGAAGTTTTCCCATCAGTAATTTGCCATTTCAGGGCCACTCCCCATTTGATCAGTGGCACCCACTCCCTTTTTTGTTTCACTTGATCTCAACACTGTGATCAAGGGTATCCATTTTGACCAGCCAATGGCAACTGTAGGAAGCAGGCATATGCAGGCACGAGGCAGGTTGATCGAGTTGCCAGGGACGAGGATCCAGAACGGCGTGTGAGCAACATGTGCACGTTGCTTGCCTTGATCACGAGCTGTGAAGTTCTGTCACACGCGTGCAACATGTGATGAAGAGCCGGTTGCAGACTGCTGATCCAAAAGTAGTTATCCCCTGTGACGCTCACAAAGTGGAAAAGCACGATGTCATGTTCATGGCCTCATGAAGCAGACTTGTCCTGTGCGAGATGCACGTGAATCACGTGTCTACCTGTGCTGCTGAGGTTGATGAACTTGAAGTCAAAGATCTTCCTTCCTGGAAAGGGTCCCATTGAAGCGCATCAGGTCTTTGCCTGAGTGAGCGAAGAACCCTCACTGGGATGACAGACGTATCATTCCCGGAGTTGCTGGGGTGGTATGTCCCCTAGCAGTGAAGGATGTCCATTTGAGTCCTGGACAAGCATCCAGAAGAGGCACGTGTGTTATGCAAGGCTTACGTCCATGGCAAGCCTCATTGCAAGCACTCCAGTGAGGCCATTTGGTCTGCAGGGGACTCGGACTTTGTCCGACGAGCCTGCGATCTGGCGAGCCGGACACGTTTGCCCGAAAATTGGAACATGCTTCAAAGATTAGGAATTCAGGCTTGCCGCAAGTGGGATATCTGAGCACTGGGTTGACATGAAGGGGTGATTCTGCATACGGGGCGGTTTTCCAAGGAGCGATCCTTGTGGATCATTTGGTTTTCAGAAACTGGGAGAAGCGTTAAACAGAACTGCAATGCACCGCGCGTTGCCTTTGGCCCACGAGCATGCCTTGTGTTCGGAGCTGAACGGCGGAGAAAGCACGTGCACCGTCCCTTCTTGAATGATCAGTGAAAGCCGTTCATTTCCATTTGAGTGCTCCCTCCATCATTGGCCATTCCAGAGTTCCTCTTCGAAACACTGTAAGTGACGTAGATACCTTACTTTTCTGAAAGATGGCTCACACACCGGTGCAAGATTTGTGGGGTTTGCGGGCTCACTTGGGGTCATGCGGAGTTTCCGGGTTCTGTTTCTTGTTTAGCGGGCTCATTTGTGTTTGTTTTTGTTTGGGTGGGTGGCTGGGTGGGTTTTTGGGTGGCTGGGTGTATGCGTGTGTGTGTGTGTGTGTGCGTATGAGTTTGTGCCTCTATTGGTTGCCACATTCCGGTTGCAAGGGGCGAGGCTGCACACACACACACACAAACACAAACCCACACGCACACTCACGGATACAAATGTTGGCGTGCCAGGCGGATGCGCCCGTTCTTCAGGACTTGTCTCAAAGTCAATGCCAACACATTGAGTCAGAAGCGGATGCTTTGCTGTTACATTCTCTCTCTCTCTCTCTCTCTACATATACGTGATATGAGACCTCATGTCACACGGACGAACCGCAGCGCTTGGTCTCCCAGCGGTGTTTGGGAGGATGGGCCGACATATTTCTGTATATATACATAATGCGCTTGCAGCAGCCTAGGCCACGATTTGGATACATGCGTACACCATCTTACACCTAATTATCAGGCCCAAAACTTTGCATCGGTATGATGAAAGTACATGTGATTGACACACCTGTGGCTTGCAAATAGCACCCCAGCTTTCGCAGTATCCTTGTTGAGATGCACCAAAAGGGCCACTTATTAGCGATTTGGCAGTAGATGTTGAAGCAGTAAACTGACTTGGCAGCAACCTGATTTGAGGATATCTACGGGGAGGCTTTGCCACGGACCGAGAATTGTGACGGCTGCAATCAATCATTTACATGCCTGGGCATAGCTAAACCGTGCTCTAAGTCAGCTCTAAGCCCACCCTGACTTAGCCAAGACTAAGCGCCTGAATCAAATTAAATCCAACAGACTCGCCGAAACAAATCCCAAAACAGTACGACATCCATCTTACTCTTGCCAAACCCCGACTCAACATCAACAACAAGCCGCAGTTCACCATCTTCTCCCACCCTAAGCCTATCCTACGGAAATCACCCGAAAATCCATCCTAAACCAATCCTAAGTCCACCCTAAACTCAGCAAACCAATCTGGAATTGCACCCTATACAACCGACCAGGCTTGATCAGCTATTTGGCCAGTTAGCTTCCTGCAAGCTAGATTTGGCTTCCATTGAATAAAGCTTGCTTCCCACATACTAAACCTACCTTCCAAAACTAACAGGTTGCCGTATGCCGCAGAGTTGGCTTCCTTCCCGTGTCCATAGACTAGGTCTGGCACTAAAATTGGCTTCCCATACGATGTGCCTGCCATCCCGCAGCCCCGCATTTAGCTGGTTCACAACAAAACGGACATGCACGTACAGTCATTGAATCACAACTGCAACATAGACAATGGCAATGAGGTGTAACGAGCCCTAAATGTCAAAAGCATATGTATGAGCTGCCTTGCAAGAGGCAAAGAGACTAGACCCGAGTTGGCCATTATCAGAGGTCATTCTTCATTTCCTGAGGCAGAGCCATTTTCCTCTCCTATCGTGGGACGGTAACTACCGCCGTCAGACGTTGTGTTCGAATGCTGGAGCGTGTGAGGGACCCTTTTTGGACGCTGGCATGGTGCCAAGGAAATGCTGGTTCTGCGACTTTCTGAATGTGCGGACGTCTCCTGGAGTGCCACTTGCTCAGATTCGATAGCAGATCCTGCTTGCTTGAGCTCCCTCAGGCACCGTGAAGCATCGTGCTTTGCTTTTTCGCTCCCTGAACGAAGCATCCGACCGAACCAAGGTTTCAGCTGTTGCAGGTGCTCCGGAGGCGAGATCCATGTGAAAGCCGCTGAATGATGTCCTTGGTTCCTTTTGGTGGTCTTTTGATGTCCACCCAAAAAGCCCTGGGGCCCTGAATTTTCGGACTTAAAATGCACGCAATGTATGTAGTTGTGTTGTTGTCTCGCGAGTTCCAGCGTCGTACACTATCCTCGGATGAGCTTTGTTGCCATGTCCTGGTTTGACCATACTATACTTGTGTAGCTGTAGAATTCCAGCACGACAAGTGAAACAGGCGCTTCGCAAAGCGGCAGGCTGGTTCCAGCGCAAGCAGGAGGCACTCCGCCATCCTCCTCAAAGCCCACCCTGTCGTTCCTGCGGCAGCTTTATGCCAGCGCCTGAGATCCCTCCACTCAGGCCTCAGACCCGCGATGCCCTTCAAAAGGCCCAATGTCCCTGAGGCATGGCTGATTCTTGTTGTGGGTGACGGCTCATGGTAACGCTCAATTGATGGTGGTGGTTTGAGGATTTGAACCTCCTTGTTGCGGATAAGTCGGAAACCACCCATAGTCTCCAAACCACTAATTCGAAGCACCAAATAGGAGAAGTTGAATCATACGGATGGATGCGTGCAAGGACCTCCCCCGAACATGGAACCTAGGGGTTCCCTTCCAGAGCGAATTGATTTTCCAGCATTTTCCAGCTGCCCTACCACAAGTGCTATGTTGGGGGAATTGTATGCAACCTGGCAGCCATTGTTTGAATTGAGGCAGAGCTCTTCTTCCAGCTGCAAGAAGGTCTTCGAGCTTCAGAGGCGTTCGTGAGAAAGCGATGCCCTGGGAAGACACGCGGAACCCTGCCGAGGTTGATCAGATACAAAAAGGGTTTCTGAGCAAGGCTTCTACATGTGAGCTGTCCGGGCTTTTGTTGACAACCGACATAAATTGAATTTAACACCCTGCTCACTGTTGGCCAATAAGACCCAAGATCACCTTGTGATCAGCACCAGCACTAGCAGAAGGCAACACATGGCAGCATCCACCCAGTCCAACCATCCAGCCACACAAAAAATGCCATGAGCAAAGTTGGGTGCCATGGCCAGAGGTCTTGGAGCAGAAGCGTCGGCGGCTTTCCGTTAGTGCGACAGAAGGCAGGGCTTCGAGCGCGATAAAGTGTCGCCTGCCAATCGAGCGGGGATCTCAATCAATATGGATCAGTGAGCCAATCATGGCTTACGGACGAGATACTGATTGAAAACCGACTGGGTGTCGGGAAGTCTTGAGATGGTGCTATTGCGAAAGTTCTTTAATCGGGTTGACTCCGCGGAAAGAAGATCTGGCAGATCACCATCCAGCCTTCCCTGTGAAGGTGACTCATTGCCTGCCCACGTCGCGCGGATCTTCAAAGACAGCAGGCGCCTGGGTTTGGCGCGAAAGGTTCGGATGATTTGGGATTGAGTTGCACGCTGTGCTCATTTTGCCCAGGGTATTATTTGTGGACGTAGCCGTGTTCCATTTGTAGCTTGTTGGCTTGAACATTTAGCTTTGAGTGTCGGGGGCTCATTGATGCCCACTACGAAGGGTGAGTTTAAGAAGTTGCATAAATCAGCTCCCGGTGCATCCACAGCCTTGGCTCGGTGAGTGCTGCCGCTGCTGTCAATAATCCATGGATCAGGCAGTGCATATTCATGCCAGCTCCCGCTTTGGTGTGTTGAGATCAAAGCTGACTTCAAGACTTGTCAAGCCGCCAGTTTCTCGCAGCGACAAAGTTGAGGGTGTTGTCGTGGCGGCCGTGGCGGTGGTCCACTTGAAGCGACCTGCGAGCCGCGTGCTTCGCAGGGCTCAAAGGCGAGGGCGGAAGGTGTTGCAGCCGGAACTGGCGGCGCTCTGCGAACTGGGCAGTGCGCCCAAGGAAAGCTTGGAAGTGGCACTGGACTTGGCCTTGCAAACGGTGCCAGTCAGGTTCATTCTGTCCTTGCTGGCGGAGAAGCGTGGGGACTTGTTGGGCTCGACAATCCAAATCCTCGCAGGGAGGCAGGTGCAAATGGACAACAGAGATTTCACCGGTGCAATCGCGAAATGTGCAAGGTCACAGGTTTGGCAAGGTGCTTGCATGCTCCTTGCGTCGATACCAGAAGTACGAGTAGAAGCAGATGAAATTACGTTTAATGCAACCATTGGTGCATGCAAGAATAAGGGGCAGTGGCAGCAGGCATTGGCACTATTCTGGGCTATGCCCAAAGCGAAGCTGCACCGAAATGAGAGCACGTTCAACACAACCATCGGTGCTTGCGAGAGAAGCAGGAAGTGGCGCTTGGCGTTATTCGTTTTTCATTCCATGCCTAAGGCCAAGATACATGCCAGTGCCATAAGTTTTAGTGCAGCTATTGTCGCTTGCGCGAAGGGCGGACAGTGGCAGCTGGCGGTGGCCCTGTTCCGAGATATGCCCAAAGCAAAAGTAAAAGCAGACGAGATCAGTATCAATGCAACCATCAGCGCTTGTGAGAAAGGAGGACAATGGCAGCAGGCATTGGCCTTGTTTCGAGCAATGCCAGGAGTCAAGGCGCGAGCCAACGTTATTACTTTCAGTGCAGCCATAAGTGCGTGTGAGAAGAGCGGACAGTGGCAGCAGGCGTTGGCACTGTTTGGCGCCATGCCCAAAGCAGAGGTCCAAGCCAATGTGATTAGTTTCAACGCAACCATCAGTGCATGTGCGAAAGGCGGGCAGTGGCAACGGGCATTGGCCCTGTTTTGGGCTATGCCCTCAGAGGTGGACCCGGATACAATTAGCTTCAATGCCACAATCAGCGCATGCGCAAAAGAAGGGCAATGGCAGCAGGCACTAGCCTTGTTCGGAGCCATGCCGACAGCACAGGTGCGAGCCAATGTAATTAGCTTCAACACAGCCATCAGCGCATGTGAGAAAGGAGGGCAGTGGCAGCTGGCACTGGCCCTGTTTGAAGCCATGCCCAAAGCCATGATGAAGCCAGACAAAATTGGTTTCAGTGCCGCCATCAGTGCTTGCGCCAACAGCGGCCATTGGCAGCAGGCACTGGCGTTGTTTAGTGCCATGCCTGAGGCAGGGCTGAAAGCAGATGAGGCCTGCTTCAACGCCACCATCAGCGCCTGTGAAAAGGGCCGACAGTGGCTGCAGGCCTTGGCCCTGTTTTGGACCATGCCGTTTGAGACGGTTCGAGCCAACGTGATCAGCTTCAATGCCACCATCAGTGCGTGTGAGAAATGTGGCCAGTGGCAGCAGGCGCTGACTGTATTCTGGGCCATGCCTCAAGTCAAGGTGCAGGCCAATGAGGTTAGCTTTAGTGCAACAATCAGCGCTTGTGAGAAAGCTGGGCAAAGCCAGCAAGCATTGGCCCTCTTTTACGCCTTACCTGATGCGGAGTTGCAACCCAGCGAAATTAGCTTCAATGCAACCATCAGTGCTTGTGAGAAAGCACGGCAGTGGCAGCAGGCGGTGGCCCTGTTTTGCGCCATGCCTCAGGCAACAGTGCAACCAGATGAGATCAGTTTCAATGCAACCATCAGCGCATGTGAGAAAGGCGGGCAGTGGCAACAGGCATTGGCTTTGTTTCGAGGCATGCCTCATGCAAAGGTGAAGCCCAATGAAGTAACTTTCAATGCAACTATCAGTGCTTGTGAGAAAAGTGGCCATTGGCCGCAGGCGCTGGCCTTGTTTTGGGCCATGCCTGTGGCAAGGGTACAAGTCGGAGAGATTAGCTTCAATGCAGCCATCAGTGCTTGCGAGAAGGGCGGGCAGAGCCAGCAAGCGTTGACCCTGTTTTACGCAATACCGGAGACAAAGCTGCAACCCAGCGAAATTAGCTTCAATGCAACCATCAGTGCTTGCGAGACAGACAAGCAGTGGCAGCAGGCACTTGCCTTGTTTCTCGCCATGCCTGAAGCGAAGTTGAAAGCAAACGAGATCAGCTTCAATGCAACCATCAGCGCTTGCAAGCAAGGAGGGCAGTGGCAGCAGGCATTGGCCCTTTTTCACGCTATGCCTGAAGCAAGCGTGCCAGCCAACGTAGTCAGCATCAACGCGGCCGTCAGTGCTTGTGAGGACGGTGGGCAGCGCCAGCAGGCTTTGGCCCTACTCGGTGTAATTCAACACGCCGGATTGACTGGGCTAAAGTGAGCATGATGTCTCCATGCTCTACAAGAACGGGCTATTTGCGGGATGCACGTTGAACATGATGAGTGAGAATGTGGATTCTGCCAGCATGTTCACCTGCGAATCCCGTTTAGACTCTAGACATAGAGCCTTCCTGTGCTATTTGCATCAAAGAAAGAAGCTTTGGAACCCTGGTTTTGTTTTATTCATCACTGCATCACTCTGTGATTCAATGTATGAAGCTGAACTGGCCTCGCATAGGTCCAACCCGCGTGGCCCTGCCGTCTCGTTTTTGTTGAGGTTTTCTTGAGCAGCGCGGCTCTGCCGCCGCCTGTTCCTGTATCTTCCAACGAGCGTTACTGCTCAAGCTGCTATTTGATACGTTTTTGCGTCTGCCCCCGCAAAAAAGGGACAAGAGAGCAGACAAAGTGTTAGTGATTGGCTTGCCTCGGGGTTTTCCATGTTTTTCATTCACCACTGAACCCAGTGGCCCAGTGCTTAGTTTGTGGACATCTCAAAGAAAGCATTGGTCGGGCGAGCGCGCCTACGTGCCGCAGGTTCATCATCCTTCCGCAGGCCAGAGGAAGGCCTGGTGGGCCTTGGTCGGGTGGGGGGGGGGCTCTCTGAAATTATGATGTCCTGCCATCCTGCTCCGACACTCACTTGCTGCATTCAACTTGAAGTCTTGGACAAATCAATCGTATGGCAAGTACGACTGTCACTCGCACAGCTGTCTATCTATGCCTTGCTTTCGGCTGTAGGCTCAGCTGAACCATCAATCCCAGCGCAAGGGATCTTTCCGCTGATGGCGCGTGAGTTGATAGGACTTGTGAGGCCATGGAAGTTCCTGACGTCTGGGACGGCCTATTGGTGCGCCGGCGCCCTGGGAGCGCCTTGTGACCATACAGATATTGGACCAAAACTCTACCCGCAGAGTGTCCGGGCGTTTGTTGTTCCCGAGCGGTGTCTCGGCGTCCCGGCGGCCTCCCTGTGGTTTCCCGGTCTTGTAGTTTCCAGGTGATGTCTGGTTGTCTCGGTGGTTTCTTTGGTGTCAGTCCAGAGTTTCTGTTTGGTGGTATTCCGGTGTCCTGGTGGTGCCGGCGGTGTGATAATAACAAGTGGTGTCCTAGAGTTAGCCCAGCAGTGCTTTGGATCTTTGGTGCTTTGGTGCTTTGGTGCTTTGGTGCTTTGGTGGTGTCCCATAGGTGTTTTGGTGCGGTGATCTGGTCATATCCCGGTGGTGTCTTGGCGGTGTTCCAGGTGCCTCGGTGGTTTTGGTTTGTCGCTGGGATAAGTTTTTCCCAATTCTGAGACATACCCATTGACTGAGGTGGATCCAGCGCTTGCTGATTTGTCCCTCCCCCAGACCAACTGGCAAGTTGCAATCTAAGCGGCAGCTTTGTGACAGCAGCATCATACGCTGGGATCAACTTGCTTGAGAGATGGACAACATGCTTGCGAGTATTGCCATTTTCGCTGATCTCGCATGGGTATCCAACTTTGTATCTCAGGCACTTGAAGCAACATGGTGCTTCTTTGGTATGCCAGCCAATGCGGGTAGGATCCGGCTGAGGCCGTGCAGCAAATTTGCTCTCAGCAACTTCTATGACGTCAAGGTGAGGCCACACACTCAGCATCCAGGAAGAAAGCCCCAGTATCGCCTGGTTTGCTTGGTGCATTTGCAATGCCGACAATTTGGTCCGGAACGCTGGGAAGTTGGAATGTCAGGGCGAGATCGGCCTAGCTTGTGACACTTGCTGCGAGTGAGGCCGCTGTGGTCATACAGCAAATCGACCAATGCAATGTCACAATAAATAGAATTGAAACCGAATTGAAACCAACAAAAGGTAATCGCCAAGAGCGTGAACACCTGGGTGTCAGGCCAGCCAGCCACCCAGCCAGCCCAAGGGGAGCCGGGCCAGCCCAGAACCGGTCAGATCCGCTCGAAAGCGCTGGGGCGCCAAGCGCCAACCCCGGAAACTTACACCCGCCAGGCCAGGCCAGTGCGCGCGCGAAAAGGGGGAAGGAAGCAGAGGCCAGTGCGCTTGGCGGCCGCTTGGGTTAAGACAGGGTCGAGGCAGATGGATTGCAGCCGCGCGACACGTGCTGGAAGACGGGGGGTGAGAAGATCCCGACGATCTCAAGAAGGGTCTGACTTCAGAGGCTCACTTCGCGGGGCGAGAGCCAGCTGGAGGATGGATTTGGGTCGCGGGACAGGGAAAGGCAAGAGATGCAGAGTGATATCAGGACCTAAAGTGGAACCAGCGGATGTCCAGCACAAAGTGCAATAGACACTTGCGAGCGCTCGGTTGGCGGCTTGCTTGTTGATATTGCTTACGTGTTGTTGCTCGCTTTTGCAAAAAAAACGGCTGCAACCTGTGAAGAGTATTCTGGTCATGTTTGGGCACAGCCTGTTGTCGAGCGGCACAGTCTTGCCGCTTCCGCGAACCAGAAGCCTTTGAGGGGGAGGTTGCCTGTCTTTGGCTTCAAGAGTTTGGCCGCGCCCCAAGGCCTTCTGGAAGCGATGAAGGCTTGTGCCCCGTATCTGGATGGTTGGGCGCTTGACAGCATCCTTGCACTCAAATATTACAGAGATCCCAGCGGGGATCGATTCAACGGCAGCCCGCTGGATTGCTAGATGGATTTCTTGGTGGCTTTTGATAACAAATTCAAACTAGCTGGGTGTTTCAGCTGATTGCGGGCAAAGTGCAACTTGCTTGACTAGGAACCCGTGCTTGTTCATGTGTGGCCATGTTGAACCGCCCGCTCTCCCGTTCATGGTTGGTTTTGTAGTCCTTTCCCGTTCAAACCAGCTCAATTGAGCAACGCCCCGACCCCCATGTGAAGATTTTAGACCTGATTCTTATAGCATGCTTCCCTCTAAGGAGGCATGTGGGTCGCGCAAGCTCACGTAAGGTTTGTTGTGAAACTTTGCGCCGCGTAAGCTCGCAAAATCTCGGCAGCTGTGTATTGTTACTGAAGGAGCCATTCGAAAACCGTGCCTTCGAGGACCGCGCTGTGTAGGCGCTGCGCGAGCGGCTGTTGATTTTGTGCAGGACATGAGGCTCCAAGCAAAACTTGCGGTCGCGTAAGACAGGCGGAAGCTTTCGCGTAAGCCGCAGCCAGCCGAACCAAACCGATTTTGTCCACCGCCCAATTAGGTGGGGGGCATCTTGGGGAACTTGCAGCCTGGCGAGTTGTCCCCATGTTCTGACTGCACCTGGTAGTTTTGTGAAACCGTGGCCAGGTGCTGCAACGGGTTCATAGCGTGACTGTACAAATGAAGCACTTCCAGCTCCATAAGAATTTCAAGAGGCCAACCCACCAAAGGACTCTCTCACTCGTTGAGCGCCTCCAGAAACTTCCGGGCATAGGTTTGCATCACCGTAGAAAGAACCCAGCCACACGCAGAACGGCTATGCCTCCATGTTACTTCCCTTTTGAGACGGCCAAAAGCCCAATCACAGTGGTTGGTGATAGTAAAGAGCCCATACAACAACCAAACAGTCAAGCAAGCAAGCAAACAAACTAAAGCAAACAAGCGATCAAACAAGCAAGTCAAGCAAGCAAAGCAACAACCTAGCCCATTCACCCCGCCGCTTGTGTTGAGCGCGGCCCTGCCGCCGCCATTTTTGTTGAGAACATTCACCCAACCGCGCAGGGGCCCAAGCCGAAGCTGACCTCAAGGCCTTCTTTGTGGAGGCCATTGATCATCAACACGAGTAACGTGCGTCCAAGACGGGGTCCACTGACATAGACATAGGTACATACGTGGTTTCGAGTTCAATGTAGTGTAGGTGCACAGGTGGCTGGCCAAACAGAGTGCTCATAGCAGAATATTGGATTGAAGGATTTTGTTGGTGTTCATATGTCAAGCGTTCCTACAGCATAGAATTTTCGTCAAGTCGAGCGCTTTCTCCAGGATTCCCCGCATGTTCTGTGTGCATCACATGTGCGTTGTCCAAATTGCCCATGAGTGATCATTCAATTGTGTTGAGTCCGAAGAGATGTGGGCTAGTTCAACTTTCAACAGCAGGGGGGCATCAGGACTTGCGCAAGATCAACCCAACTTTCATGCTTGGATATAAGGGTGCAGTGATTCAGGAGATGTGCGGAGCGTGGCTGTGTTGCTGGAAGGTGCTTGGAATCACTGACTGCCTCACCCACGAGGACTTGAGCTTGCCTGCAAACACGTCCCCCGGAGACTTCCTACAAAGTCACTGAAAGCAAAGCAGGGCATCCGCTTCATCACATCACAAAGCGCTTGGGGATCCTTGAACCATTCAATGAATTTGAGGGCAAGAGAGGCTGTTTGACAAACTGCTTAGACCTTTCGCCGTTCATCGTGGTCAGACATGTAGCGGTGCCCTCATGTTTCACCCCCTGAGTTCATGGGCCTTTAAACTTTTTGGAAGACCATTTTAGCGGCAAACCAAAAGTTTGGACTTCTTTTGGCCAGTCACTCAGAAAGTGAGATTTCTTTGCCGGCGTGCGTGCATTTAAGTGTAGTGCGATGCCAGTGGCAGGAGCTCGCTCAACGATTCTCGCAAGAGAGGCTCGGGCTTGCATCTTTACTCGATCTGGAGTGGTAGCTGGCCACCCTTGCTATCGTACCACATATTCTACAGCAGTGCGCTTCTGAACAAGTGGCAGAAACGGCAATAAACATCCCGTAGATAATTGATCTCTTCCACTGTCATATGTGATAAATTGCAAGCAGTGTCTACCCTTCTGCAGTCCATGATCCTTTTGACTCGCACCTGACCAGATGTGCAACAAGTGCTAGAAAGGCTGCTGTTAAACTCAGAAGGCACATACATGCCATAATGGTGCTGGGTGTCTTTGTTGTTGTTTTTGAGTGGCTTGTCGTTGTTGTTTCCCAAGCCTGGGCGCATGTTTTTTGGTCGAAGAGGATCCTTTTTCCTTTTGCGCCCAGTGATTATCAATCTTACACCCCGATTAATCAATCCTTAGGTGTCCTAAAACTACTTCCCAGATTTATAGATTCTCTTCTCTGCAAAGAAAGAAGGGTACGGAACGCTGGAAAAACTGTCAGAAAAATATGGCTGCTCATCTGCAAATACCAAAAAAAGCAAAAGATCCCTCGCAGCAACCAATACACTAATACTATAAGGGGTACTAAGTAACGCTCGCCGAATGCTAGACTAGTAAACCAGAAAACCAATACTACGCCACATCTCTCGCGCCTTGGACGCCAGGTCCAGGCCAGCCGCGGCCCCGAACGCGGCTTCGCGCACGGCGGGGGGCCTGAGTTTCGGCGGCTTCGTAGACAAGGAGGGCATCCTCCATTTTACCTTTGGGACAATTGGGAACCAGCCCAACATACAGGTATATTCTACAGCTGAGACTGCGCGATTCGATGGGAAGCGCAGAAAACAACACCTGAATGGTTGTTTGGGATTGGGAGGGTCATCAACACAACATCAATGGGAGGTAAAGCTGCTAAAGCAGCCTTTCTACAGCTATAGGGTGGAATGGGATATGAGCCCATGCCGGTGAACTAGGACCTGCTGGTATCTTCTGCCATCCGAGTTTGTTCCATTTGCCATAATAGAATGCCTTGGTTGGCTAGCCCTTGCTTGTGTGGTATGGGATATTGGGTGTTAAGCAGTTTCCCAGAGTGGCAAAGAGGCCATCCTCAGAACATTATATTTGATAGGGTCGCTTGAAGGAGCGACCTCAAAGGCACACTGTTTGCCAACCTGCGCACCGGGTTCTTGATGCTGGCCAAGGAATGCTTTAGTGGGTCACAGGGAATAGGCTGTTCCCGATGATTGTTTCAGGTTCAAAGGCGCGAAGCGAGAGCAAGCCAGGACAGCAGGTTTGCTCGCGAACTGGGGCGATGTTTGTGAAATCATCGAGGGGGACACGTGGCGCTGGCGCAGCACCCAACGGTCGAGCCGGAAATTAGTATTTGATTCGTTTTATAATTGTTAAATTGTTAATAGGGAAAGTTAGGGCTCCGGGTAACCTTAACGCGCCGGGCTAGCTTGCCTGCATGTCACTCCAGGATGCTGGTAGCTCCGGTGAGGATGACAGTGATGATCCGGGCTCAGAGTCAATGTCACCAGCACCATGTCGGAGCACAGAAGCTTGGACCCCACGACTGATCATATTTGGCCTTGTGCTCACGGCTGGGGGGTCAGAGTGACTTGTTTCTTCTAATCAACGAAAAATGAGTTATATCTTAGCCTGGACCCACGATAAAGATACACTGGTGCCAACAAGAAGTCTACAAACGGCCATGGTTCACCAGGCCGCGTCTTTCCATCCGCAAGTGGGGGGGTCGTTCCCTTTGAGCCAATCCGAGCCGACGCCCAGGACAGCGGCAGCGACTCAGAGGCGCTGGGGTTCGGCGAGCCCGTCGCAGCGTGTCGCGAAACCCCCAAAAGAATGGCCAGGACGACGGCGCTCTGGGTGCGCAGGACGGGGACACTGCCTTGGGACTTGGAGGGTTGAAACCACAGATGTCCCAGAAAAGGAAAAACGGGGAAAAAGGCATTCTGCAATGTTCCTGAATTTGCATCTTTCTGATCGGTTTTGCCAGCGAGAGGAGTGTTTCAGGAATTGTGGCGAAAGATTCGAATTGGGTTGTCATTTTCTATTTTACGAGCAGGGGGTGAGACAGAGCTTCTCCATACAAAGTCCCTGCAAGCGTGAATCAGTGAAGGACCTGTTGGGCGAAGATGGTTTGCTCAGCATCCTGTCCAGCACTCAGAGGCAGGTTGTCTTTGTTGGGCGCCGTACCCTTCCTTTGACTGGTTCGGCCCGCAGCCGACCTTGCCTGTGGCCGCTTGGCTTGAGATACCACGTGTCGCGCACGGGCAGTGGATAAATGGCTCAAAACAAATCTTGTTCACCGTCGACCTACGATTGGGCTTTGTAGGCTGTGGGCTCTGCTCCTGGACAGTTGGTGTTGAGTGCATAGCAAATGGGGTGGTCAAAGCAATGGTGAGCAGGTTTCCACTGTTCAGGCGAAGGCTGTCCAACGGTGCAGATGACGAATGAAGCGGAACAAAGCCCAGTAAGATTATCCGTGCTTATCGGCCTGAGGCCTCCTGACAGCGCCCGCGCTGGAGGAAGACAAGAAGGAAGTGGCCGCAGGCAGGAAGGGATCTAGGGAGCGTCTTGCGGCTGTTGTTTGTTGAGTGTTTTGATTTCTTTGCCGAGTTTGGGCAAATAGGTTTGCAGAACCCCTTGCTGGCTTCGGTCGCTTCTCGGGGCTATGAGTTTGCAGCCGGCTTGTCCTTCGCGGGCGCTTGAGGACAGAGCGGACAGGCGTCGCATCCTCGGACGTGGACGACCTGGCCTCAGCTCGCACTGTTGATAGACGAAGTTGTAGTTCCGTATTACTTGGCGATTCAAGTGTTTGTATCCAGTTGCAATTTCTATGCTATGCATGTGAGAGAACCCGATAGATTCAGCAGCGCACGGGAAAAGTGGAGCATTGGAAAGGCAAGGGGCCAAAGATGAGGAAGCCATTGCTGTGCGTTCCGGCTACAAGAATTGAGTTTGGGGTTACGGCAGGTACTGACGTCATTTGGCGGCCTGGTTTGGCACTGTTCCTCCTGTTAGCTTGGCTACACGCAAAACCTCTCCGGGCCAGAGGCATAAGTTGGACTTAGTTTTCTTATGGTTCGCAGACATCAACAGGTCATGCGTCAGGTTCCAAGGTCGGACAAAAGCTAGGGAAGAGCACCAGTGTCGAGGGCCATAGGTTTAGGCCGGTTCGAGACCCTCCAATCCAGCTATGTACAAGAAACACCCATGAGGTACAGCAATTGACCTACCAAAATGGTTCTTACAGGGAAGGGATATGCAATGGAGTGGAGTAGGGCAAAACCTCCCAAAAACGACGGCGAGTCTTTAAAACGAAGGATCCTTGTTGCGCACTTGGCGACACTGGGCGCGAGCAGGTCTTGAAACGAAGGGCGGACAAAGTCTAAACAAAGCCCTGTTGCACGAAAGATTGGCTTTCTTTGGCTCTTTTGAATTGCGATAGATGAGAAGCAACCGTAAGACTACAGGAAGACTATGGGAAGCTACCGGAAGACTATGGGAAGACTACAAGACTCCGGGAAGAGAGACTAAAAGACTACATGACCAAAAAGCCCTCAAAAATGAAGGCGAGTCTTTAAGGCTAAGGATTTAGAGATATTCCAGTTTGGCACACAAGGATGTTGGCGGCCGCTCATCGAGGTGTTTTTGTTTACAAGAGAAGCGTGGGCCATTTTTTTTCGGATTTTGTTCTTCTTCTTTTTTTGTTTAAGGATGTTTTTTGTTTTTCAGGGTGGGTGGCTTTGTGGCTGTTGTGGCTGTTACGTGGGTTTTGTGGCTTTTGTGGCTTTTGTGGCTTTTCATGTCGCATCCTTTGCATTCGCAGTTCCTCTCTTTTCGCATCCTCTGCATTGCCAGTTCCGCTGCGGCAGGTGGTTTTTTGGCTTTGTGGCTTTTGGCTTTTCGCATCCTCTGCTTTCCCAGTTGGTTGCAGCATCCTCAGCATCGCAAGTTCCTCCCATTCGATTAAAATACACGCCTAATTGAATCATCACTTTTTCGATCATCATGCGACAGCTACTTTTTAGATTCTTTGCCCCTAATTTATCGATCCACTTTTGCCCCTAATTGAATCATCACTTGTTCAATCATCATGGGGGGGCTGCCGCCCCCCCCCCCCCCACCCTCCCGCTATTTTTTAGACTTTTTGCCCCTAATTGAATCATCACTTGTTCGATCATCATGGGGGGGGCTGCCGCCCCCCCAACCCCCCCGCGCCTTTAATTGAATCATCACTTTTTCAATCATCATGGGGGGGTCTGCCGCCCCCCCCAACCCCCCCGCTATTGTTTAGACTTTTCGCCCCTCAGTGAATCATCACTTTTTCGATCATCATGGGGGGGGCTGCCCGCCTTTAATCGAATCATTCTTTTTCAATCATCATGGCCCCCCCCGCCCCCCCAAACCACCCCCGGCTGCTTTTTAGATGTTTTGCCCCTAATTGAATCATCCCTTTTTCAATCATCATGGGGGGGGGTTATGCCGCCCCCCCCCCAACCCCCCACTGCGTTTTAGATTTTTTGCCCCAAATTGAATCATCACTTTTTCAATCATCATGGGGGGCTGCCGCCCGCCCAACCCGCCCGCTACGTTTTAGGTGTTTTACAGGGATTGGTTTGCCCGTATTTGAATCCTCACTTTTACCATGAGGCCTTGCCGCAGAGGAACTGATGATGCTTAAGATGCAGGAAGCCAAGGTGATGCTGGGGATGTTGAAAACGATGCTGATGATGTTGACGGACTAGCGCAAAATACGTACATTGAGAAAATGCTGTAAACTACAGCATTTTAGTAGCCAGGACGGAAAAGAAAAATAATCCCAAAATAAAACAAAGAAAATCCCAAATTAAATCTCGACCCATTGTTCATGCTCAAGCTTTTCGCCTGCTTCCTCCACCTCCGCATGTGAATGCCAAGGATGCCTCGTTGAGGAGCTTGCTTTCGCGTTGCTGTCAGCGAACTCGGGCAGCTCAAGCTGGCGAGGCGGGCGGTCATTCGGCTGGCGCTGCAAATCTTGACACACTGATTCATGGGGCTGGCCAATAGTGGCCCCTCGGTACCTAATGATGTACCTCAGAACGACAACCTCCGGTCGGACAATCTTGAGAGCCTGGCCAGGCAATGTACACGGGCGCGTCGAGCGGCCAGAAGACTGCTGGGACAGCAGAGGCATGGATAATCGTGCCGTTGCTGCATTTGTATGTTGATAGCTATTGCTTGACGGTTGACATGATGCATGGTCAGATGATTAGGCATTCCAAACATGCATGTTTTGCATTGATTTGTCATCGTTTATGCCATGATATTTATTGACCCTCTATGAGGGTGAGAAGACTGATCTCTCCGCACTTTCGTTTCAGGTGCAACCGCTTTGGAGCATCAAAGAATATCAAACAAGCTATCAAAGCCTCGTTGGATTCCCAGGATCTCTTGCAAAGTTGTCATCAAAAAGGCAAGTAACCGCCGCACGTGATCCACTGGCAGTGGAGCCTCCATTGATTCATGATGCTTGAAGCAACTTGGCCAATCCTGATTTACACGCTCCCTAATTACTAAGGCACTTACTGTGACTGGTTGTAAAAGGATGTGTCGATTGAAGCTGCTTCAAGCAGGCAAATAAGTTGTTTTTGAGCCCTTCCGGAGGTGGGGCTACGGCGGGTCCTTTGGCCCGGTCCTCGGATTGCCCAATTGCCAGCTCAGGCTGCATGTCACTATTCCGTCGGCAGCCAAAGTCTGTTGAAGCCAGCGGGCAGTGACAAACAGACTGAGCAAATAGCTCTAAATTGGTTGTTGCATTGTTTCACATTCCCGGAACTTGACTCCGCCAGGAGCCAGGAGGATGTGAGCCTCTATGCCTGCGGGCCTTCGGACTTTTTGGCCTCTCCTCAGGCTCGGGGCCCAAAGGCGAGTGGTTGAGAGGGCCACTTTGTGCACAAGGTCAAAATATCCAGAATGGCCCCAACCAGACCCTGAAGCCATAGGTGTCCGTTTTGGGTGAGCCTGGCTAGAAATAGATGGCACAAAAGGCCACCTATGCCTGAAGCTTGTTGAAGGTTGGGTCTCAAGGTTCAGTCTCGACTCACGGCAAAAAGTTTGCTGTCGGCCAGGCCCTGCAGGAGGTTGGCCTTGCCCTGGCGAAGCGGCAGGCGTGGCATCCCTGACCTGAAAGGATCTGACATGGGTCTATATGTAAAAAAAGGTTTGGATGACCTTTTTGTGGATTTCACCTGTCCTTCCCCCTGTAAGTTCTTGTTTAGTATTCCCCCTGTAAGTTCTTGTTTAGTACTCTTTTAGGGAACCATGATTAAGTGGCTTGCTGAAGTGTGCAAAGGTTTGAATGCTCCATGCGGTGATCATGGAAAGAGGCACGCAGGTGAGTGTTCATGGTGAGTTGTCATGCTTGTAGCAGGTCAATCTTGGCTTTGGCGGATGTGGAAACTACTGAGATTGTTGGCGAAGACTTCCTGAACCTAATCAGTCGGATCTGATAAATCAGTTAACAGCTGCCCTTCTGCAGATGCTGTCAAGCCTTTCTTCAGTGGCTGAAGCAGCAATCAGCAATCCTCCTTCCTGCACCCTTATTCTGGGTTTGCCAGCATCAAAAGCTCCAATGTCTGAGACAGGGAAAAAACGCGTTTGCGCTCATGCAAGGGCACCTGGGAGGGGATAATGTTTTGCAAAACATGTTCGACCGAGGCATCAGTGCCCAAGGGTAGCCTTCTGGCCTCAGAGGGCCTTGTGCTGAGTCGCTCTCGTGGGTGTTGGGCTTGTTGTATAGCGGGGTTTGCTCCTTAATCCCTTGACTGGCTTCCAAACGCCACTCTTCGTCCAGTCCAGGAACTTATGCTGGAAATGAGTGCGGGTCAAAATTAAACCACCAGGGCCCGCAGGATTTCGTCTTCTTTCCCTCTACCAGGGTTCCATTTCGGCTGCCTATTTTTGACCCACACCTAAATGGGTGTGGCTCAAAGTTAAACAGCATGGGTTACGCAGGTTTTGGTCCATGTTTCCACTTACCAGGGCAACCCATTTTGGAATTCCGGTTGTTCCAAATGTCCCTTGCGCCCACATTGGCAAGAAAACGGCGCGCCTTAGGCCTGGCGCGCCGGGCGGCGGACTTCGCGGAGGCGGTGCTGAGACCATTGGCGCGATTCTTCCAGGCCAGGGCCATGGGGAACAAACCAGTTGCTGGGAAGCTGTTTTTCCCCACATCTTTGTGTGGGGTTCTTACTTTTACCGCTCCGCGCCCGCCGCCCGCCGTCCGCCGTCCGGCCCCGCCGTCCGCCGCCCGCCCCGCCGCCCCCGCCGCCCACTCACTCACACTCACTGTCTCACACTCACTCACACACACTCACTCACACACACTCACTCACACACACTCACTCACTCACACTCACTCACACTCACTCACTCACTCACCCGCACAAAGTCACTCACTCACACACACTCACACACACACTGACTCACACACACTCAGTCACACACACTCACTCACTCACACTCACTCACACACTCACTCACACACACTCACTCACACACACTCACTCACACACACTCACTCACACACACTCACTCACTCACACTCACTCACAGTCACTCACTCACTCACAGGGGCAGCATTTGGGAGCTGTTTAAAGGGCTGCGGTGTTGTCGCGCGCGCGGCTCGGGGCTCGCGAAATCGTGGCAGGCGCAGCACTTTGGAGATGCCGTTGCCGAAGTCGTGGCAGGCGCAGCATTCTGTGCATCTGAGTGTGTGTTTGCGTGGCAGGGGCAGCATTTGGCAGCTGTCTGATGTTGTCGCGCGCGCGGCTCGGGGCTCGCGAAATCGTGGCAGGCGCAGCACTTTGGAGATGCCATTGCCGAAGTCGTCGCAGGCGTGGCAGGCAGCTGTCTGTGGGCTGGGACGTTGTGCGCGCGCGGCTAGTGTTTGTGTTTCGCAGGCGCAGCATTCTGTGCATCTGAGTGTGTGTTTGCGTGGCAGGGGCAGCATTTGGCAGCTGTCTAAAATCGTGGCAGGCGCAGCACTTTGGGATGCCATTGCCGAAGTCGTCGCAGGCGCAGCATTCTGTGCATCTGAGTGTGTGTTTGCGTGGCAGGGCCAGCATTTGGCAGCTGTCTAAAGGGCTGGGACGTTGTCGCGCGCGCGGCTCGGGGCGCGCGAAATCGTGGCAGCCGCAGCACTTTGAAGATGCCATTGCCGAAGTCGTGGCAGGCGCAGCATTCTGTGCATCTGAGTGTGTGTTTGCGTGGCAGGGGCAGCATTTGGCAGCTGTCTAAAGGGCTGGGATGTTGTCGTGCGCGCGGCTCGGGGCTCTCGAAATCGTGGCAGGCGCAGCACTTTGGAGATGCCATTGCCGAAGTCGTAGCAGGCGCAGTATTCTGTTCATCTGAGTGTGTGTTTGCAGGGCAGGAGCAGCATTTGGCAGCTGTCTAAAAGGGCTGGGATGTTGTCGCGCGCGCGGCTCGGGGCTCGCGAAATCGTGGCAGGCGCAGCACTTTGAAGATGCCATTGCCGAAGTCGTGGCAGGCGCAGCATTCTGTGCATCTGAGTGTGTGTTTGCGTGGCAGGGGCAGCATTTGGCAGCTGTCTAAAGGGCTGGGATGTTGTCGCGCGCGCGGCTCGGGGCTCGCGAAATCGTGGCAGGCGCAGCACTTTGAAGATGCCATTGCCGAAGTCGTGGCAGGCGCAGCATTCTGTGCATCTGAGTGTGTGTTTGCGTGGCAGGGGCAGCATTTGGCAGCTGTCTAAAGGGCTGGGATGTTGTCGCGCGCGCGGCTCGGGGCTCGCGAAATCGTGGCAGGCGCAGCACTGGACATGCATTGCCGAAGTCGTGGCAGGCGCAGCATTCTGTGCATCTGAGTGTGTGTTTGCGTGGCAGGGGCAGCATTTGGCAGCTGTCTAAAGGGCTGGGATGTTGTCGCGCGCGCGCTCGGGCTCGCGAAATCGTGGCAGGCGCAGCACTTTGGAGATGCCATTGCCGAAGTCGTGGCAGGCGCAGCATTCTGTGCATCTGAGTGTGTGTTTGCGTGGCAGGGGCAGCATTTGGCAGCTGTCTAAAGGGCTGGGATGTTGTCGCGCGCGCGGCTCGGGGCTCGCGAAATCGTGGCAGGCGCAGCACTTTGGAGATGCCATTGCCGAAGTCGTGGCAGGCGCAGCATTCTGTGCATCTGAGTGTGTGTTTGCGTGGCAGGGGCAGCATTTGGCAGCTGTCTAAAGGGCTGGGATGTTGTCGCGCGCGCGGCTCGGGGCGCGCGAAATCGTGGCAGGCGCAGCACTTTGGAGATGCCATTGCCGAAGTCGTGGCAGGCGCAGCATTTGTGCATCTGGCAGCTGTCTAAAGGGGCTGGATGTTGTCGCGCGCGGCTCGGGGCGCGCAGGCGCAGCACTTTGGAGATTGGTCGTGGCAGGCGCAGCATTCTGTGCATCTGAGTGTGTGTTTGCGTGGCAGGGGCAGCATTTGGCAGCTGTCTAAAGGGCTGGGATGGCGCGCGGCTCGGGGCTCGAAATCGTGGCAGGCGCAGCACTTTGGAGAGCCGAAGTCGTGGCAGGCGCAGCATTCTGTGCATCTGAGCGTGTGTTTGCGTGGCAGGGGCAGCATTTGGCATCGCTGGGGCAGCAGGGAGCTGTTTAAAGGGCTGGGGTGTTGTCGCGCGCGCGGCTCGGGGCGCGCGAAATCGTGGCAGGCGCAGCACTTTGGAGATGCCGTTGCCGAAGTCGTGGCAGGCGCAGCATTCTGTGCATCTGAGCGTGTGTTTGCGTGGCAGGGGCAGCATTTGGCAGCTGTCTAAAGGGATGGGATGTTGTCGCGCGCGCGGCTCGGGGCGCGCGAAATCGTGGCAGGCGCAGCACTTTGGAGATGCCATGCCGAAGTCGTGGCAGGCGCAGCATTCTGTGCATCTGAGTGTGTGTTTGCGTGGCAGGGGCAGCATTTGGCAGCTGTCTAAAGGGTTGATGTTGTCGCGCGCGCGGCTCGGGGCGCGCGAAATCGTGGCAGTTCGTGGCAGGGCATTCTGTGCATCTGAGTGTGTTTGCGTGGCAGGGGCATTTGGCAGCTGTCTAAAGGGCTGGGATGTTGTCGCGCGCGGCTCGGGGCGCGCGAAATCGTGGCAGGCGCAGCACTTTGGAGATGCCGTTGCCGAAGTCGTGGCAGGCGCAGCATTCTGTGCATCTAGCGTGTGTTTGCTTGGCAGGGGCAGCGTTTGTGTCTAAATGGCAGCGTTTGCAGCCGTGCCAGAACACATCATCGAGCCGCACTTCAGGACACCCCAATCGAAAGATTCGGACGCGTGGATGATTTGGAAGTTGCTTGCATCTGCGGTCGCGGGAGCGACCTATATACGCTTGTAGAACCAGCTGCAATGCAAAGAAGCCCGCAGAAATGGGGTTCCGCTCTTGGAAGGGTCTTCAAGTACTTAGCGCCTTACAGCGCAGGATGCATGGGGCCAGGCTGGCAGATACATGCTGCGCCTGACGCGTTGGCACTTCAAGCCATATGTTAAACATATGCCGCTGACATATACCATTGGCGATGCCAATGCGACCCCTCGATCTGCCAGAGCGAAAAACAAAGTGCTGAGAGTTTTCGACATAGCTGACTGCGTGAAGGTTTTGCATGTGAGGGTCTTTGCATGTCTCGGATTTGGGATTATTCGCTGCTCGGCAGACGCAAGTGTCGCATACTTCAATAAGCATAGACTTGTGGGGTTATCCGGCCCTTTAATTTGGGTGAGAAGTGGAACTAGGTGGAAAATGTGTTATTATTTTTTCCGGTGACCACATAGCAAGCTGGACAAGAAAAGGATAACATGTGGATAGCACTCCCATGCTAAGGATGATATAGTTGGCCGTACTGCTTGCTTCATACAACACTGGTGTTGCCAAGCAGAACTGCAGCATGAATTGAAGTAGCAGTGAGCAGTGACACGTGCAGACGTGACAAAGCACGGCTGGATTGTTCAGGATGGCCAGGGCAGAGGGGTTTAAGATTGAATCCTTGGTGTTTTAGCAGATAGGGAGGTCTTTTGACCCGCGAGGTGCCCTTGAACAGCCTGGCTGTGGCAGTGGGGCCGAGCATCGGTGGAGCCAGCAAAGTTGAGAGAGAAGGTGGTGTCTTGCGGTTGCACCAGCGCCTTCAAACAAAAGGGAACAACAAAGGGAAACCAGCCTGACAGACTTCTGCCTGGACTAGGGTCATGGTTCACTTGATAACATAGAGATCCCCAAATCCTTGGTCATGTGCATGCAACGAAACCTGGGCACTGGTTTTCCAGTCTTGGTCTGCTTAGCTGATTGTTAATCTTGTAAGGTTCACTTGGCTGAAACCACAAAATGTCCAATTAAGATCATGCCGGCAAGCTGACAGGATGGCTCTTCTAGAGCTAGATACTGAACTCAATACGGCCACTTTTGTGTATGTAAACCATAGTCAATACGTGTCACAGCCAAGACATTTAAAGGAAGCTAGGGTTCATACTGTAGAGATATGATTGCATTATATATATATATATATTCAGCGTTTAGGTCAGCATCAACGGAGGGAGGGACGTTTGAACCATTGCAGACAACAAAGGCGGAGATTCATAGGTCGAGTGTATTACTACGTGACATAGGATGGTCCTTTTTGTGGAGGGCACTCTCCACTACAAGCACCTAACAGGTGCCTTTAAATGTCAATTGGGTCTGAGAAGCCAGGTACGCAGAGCCGTTTTTGTTTCAGGGATACCCGTTTGACTTATGATTCTAGTTCTGTGCCCATTCTCATGGCAAAGCAAATTCAGACCGCCGATCCATCAACATGAACCCGATGCATCATGATGCATTTGATTAAAGTTTGCTAGTTGTTTTTTCACCGAGAGCTGCCGATGGCAACGCCTTGTTTGCGCGGATCCCGTGCAGGTTTTGTTGGGGTAGGGCGGCGACGAGAAGACCAGATTCTGTGAGTGCAGACATGTAAGACGGCCTTGGTCCGCCAGGGCGCGGCCGAAACGTGTGGGTGGCTTACGCTGATGTCGGCAGCTGTCGTGCCCCTTTGGTTCATAGAGGCTGAAAGTTCTTCAAGTGGCTGAGGGAATCCTTTTCTTTTGTGGTTGGATTTGATTTGATGAATGCTGGAAGACCGAGGCACGGCCTGATTTGCTTCAGCCTGCCAGATGGAGACCAAAGGCAGGGAGGGGCTGCCAACGGACCGCGTGGCTCTGATCGGAAATTGCGCCAAATAGGAAGTCCCCTCTTTGGGAGGGTCTTATGGGACGCCAGACGGCAAGCAACCAGAGACCCCAGCGCCGACACGTCCAAGTTGTCAAATGTGGCAAATTGAAGAATGATGCCGCACGAGTGAAAGTTTGCAGGTCAAACTTGTGCCTGTGGTTCTGCGAAATGTGCCGATCTTGGAGGGAAGAACAGATTGGTCCAGCTTAGCGCAGGGCAACGGCATACGTGAGGATCTATGTACCTCAAATTTTTGGATGAAACTGCTTTGGGGCAGTTGTGTCTGTTCATGAGAGTGTCTCCGCTCCCAGGTGCCGGCTGCTCGCTTCCAATGCCGCAGGAGAAGACTTCTCCATGGGAGAGGTTGGGCATGGGTTTGCCGGTGAAACCCATCGAATCATTGCAAGAGCTGAACATTTCCGGATGAAGTGATGGTCATTCCGGCGGACGACCAGCCGAAATGTCAGCGCATGTGAGTTGAGGAGGATGCAAACATGCATGAGTTGCACAGGTGGCTTCAGCTTTGACAGCTCAGCACATGAAGCAGTTCTTGCAGTTCCAGGCAGGCCGTTCTGCTTTTTCACTGCCGTCCCTCACTGCCTAAATGATGGCGAATTGCTAGGCTACGGCTCGGAGACGGCGAAGATGAAAATGTGCGTATGCGCAGTGGCGCGATAGTGACGGGGAAATGTAGGATTGAGAAGGATTTGCAAGCAGTGATTGCGCTTCAAGAGCAGTGTCGGTATTGGTTCCCCTCCAAGCAGATGGTTTGATTTCACAGCTGTTCAAGAATGCCGCCATCAATATGCTGCTACTGGTACTGCAATGTGTCATGTTCCTTCTTGTGAGCGATGTACTGGACACTGGTACATCACTGCTCAAGGCGGGCGCTTCAATCTGGTTGCTGAGACTTTGAGGCATGACACGCTTTGGACAAAGCATGAACCCCCAAGAAACCAAACCATTGGTCAAGTGCGGGTGCATGCAGCGACTGACAGAAAGGCATGGGATGGTAGCCTGAGTAATCGATGCTTGCCATGCTGGGCCTTCTGGTCGCTGGCCTTGGGGGTGCTCTTGGGCGAGATGCCCCAGCGGCCTTGGAGGCCTCTTACAAGGAGCGCATCCAAGGCCTGCTGAATGCCTCCGCCGAGGCAGCGGCCCAGCACTTGTCCAAGCGTCTCGCGCTGAAGTCGGAGCTCTTTGGTGGCTATGAGTTTGAATACGGCGAGCAGGTTCGCTGGTTGCACGGCTGCTTGGACATTGTGGTTGACCGCGATTCAGTGGAGAATTGTGTGCTGCGGCAGCTGCAAGCTTTGACTGCGCTTTGCGGCGTGCCTTTAAGCAAGGACAGCAAGACCATTGTGGAGAAACATGTGAAGCATTTGCTGAAGGCAAAATCGTATCCCTCGCTGGGCATGCGGCTGCAGCAGATTTCCGGCGCTTCTGTTTTCGTGTTCCAGAAACAGCCAGGTTCCAGCGACGTGGATGCGAGCCCTGCAATACAAGCCAGCGTGCTCATGGCTGCGGCGAGGTGTGGTGAGGCTTTGGGCAAGAAGAACTACCTGGACGATGCCGAGTCTTGGTTTCTGGGGCTGCAGAAAATTTATCCCGAATCTCTTTGGAATGAGTCCTTCATCTCCTACCACCGCTCAGCGATCATGTGGGAGTCCCTGGCTGTCACCGCTCTCCATGTAGGTGGGTCTCGAGGGGGTTTCAAGCCGTTTGGCAGTTCCTTGAAGCAAAGCTAGGTGGAACCAGAGGACAACCAAGCAAATGAATTGAAGAGGGAACCAGAATAGAGTTAGACAGCAAGGGGTAGCCCCCAGCACGAGCGACACGGCCAGGCGAGCAGTCCAGCTTCCACGAGGATTTGGAGGAATACCTCCACCGTTTCGAGGCCTTCTTGCGGCGAGCTTGGGAAGGCAATGCGGAGTACTGGTCCTTTGCCTCTGCCAGGCGAATGGGCTCATGACACCTCCGAGCACCGTTTTGAAAGGAAACTCAATCGATGTTGCAGCCATGCGGAAGGGATGGCATTCACCATGCGCCCATCTCATGCGGTTTGAAAGGGACACCAGGTTTGACATGTTTGGTCGCCCACATCTCAAGCCTCCTCAGTGAGCATTTCCCAATCAAGGCTTGTTAATCGCCCCAACATGTGGCTGAGCCCCCTTCCATCTCCCTGATTGGCCAGGGCCCTGGCAATCCGATGGCCATCCAAGGCGGCCAAGAAGCAGCGGCTGCTGCTAAAGCGCTGGGCCACCGAACACGTGGACCGTTTCCTGGGCAGGTCTGAGAGCTTCCGGCTCCAGAAGGGGCCCGAGGCAAGGCAAAGCTTTGGTGTGCCTGTTGGTGCTTTGTTCAAAGGAAGTCAAAAGGAACCCTGTCACTTTAAGGTTCCCCCCTGTTGAGAAAAGTATTTGGCACTTAGTGGCATCCGCTCTTGGGATTGCTTTCCTGCGAGAACTGATATTTGTGCTTTTGCAAAGAAGACCATTGATCAACATCTGCATTTGGTGATGGTTGTTTCCTCAACTTAAGCACCCAGAAGGACGTGATGTCCATGAGAAACCAATCTCAAAGCCCACAAACTCCGAACATGTTTCGCTTGGTTCAATCTACCCCGAGGTTGGTATTTCGCAAGGCATTCTCGCGAGGATCGGGGGAGCGCGATATACCTGCGGCCCCCTGCAGGGCTTGGCATCGCTGGCGGCCATGCTCATGGATGCCGAGTTGGTGCAGGCATGGGAAAAGATCCATTTGGGACTGTCCAAAATGAATTGGGGAGCCCAAATCCCCTTCTTTTGATTTCTGTGAAAAGATGTCGCATGTGTGTTAAAAATCTTCGAAATACGCGGGGCGGGCGGCATGTTAAACCCACGAAAGCATTTGAAGTATATACATGCGGGCGAAAGGTTTGGCAATGTCAAGAGAAAGGTGCCGCAATTTTGAACAGTCAAATTGATGGTCACTGAAACCCAGGAAGCGTGTGAAAGAAATCCAAAGCTTAAACCATGTTCGTTGGCAACTTCACAAGCCCAGATTGGACTAACCGCTTTTGACACTTCAAGACCAACAAAACATGAGCTGTTTGCATTTCGAAACGGAAGGTCGTGCTGCAGCTTCTTGAGAAGGATGTGAATCGGTACCAGCTGTCTCAGCTCAATCCCGGTCCACTCGGCGAAGGATCAGAGACATCAGAGACATTGGGAGCCTTCTTCCGCGATGATGACCAACTGCAACTGGAGAAGAGAAGCAGCATGCGCGTGGATGATACTGCAATGTGCCTCCTGGCAATATCACATATGCTGGAGGCGCTGACTGCAATCAAAGGTGTTGTTGTGAACACTGAGAGAATAGACAAGCAAGAAGAATTGTGAAGAAACAAAATAATGTTTTACACAGAGGTCTAAACTGTCCATGATTGATATTGATTAGGGTATGGTTTACGGAGGATGTACGGTTATATACTATGAAAAATGATAATTTATGTAATGTATAGTATTAAAGATTTAATAAATTGAATGTTGGATTTAAGAAATGAAATTAATTTGAGGAGAAAAAAAATAATATATATATATAGTTAAAGATAATATATTAATTTGAAAGGAAAAAAGAATGGATATTATGTATATATATAACCCTTTTCTTTTATGGTTTTTGGTTTTATTGTTTTTTGGGAATGGTAAATTTAGAATTTTTAGAAAATTTTATTTATGGGTCTTTGAGAATTTATTTATTTAAGTTATAATTAAACATAAATATAGTTTTGAAAAATATATTTAGATTAAATTATATTTAAAATTCTAATTTTGGTTAAAATAATATTTTATATATAAAGGATATTATATAAAGATATTATAGAAAACTCCGGACTCTTTATATTTGTTTAAATAATAATTATATAAAAAATATAAATATTGATTTTTGATTAAATTTTAATTAATTTATAATATAAAAAATTAGATGGACTGTTTTTTTTAAAAATAATTTAAGTAATAAATATAATTTAAGACGAATATAATTTAAATGTGTAATTAATTGTTTATGTAGCTGATTGAAGGCATCGTTGCGGTTATTGTTGAGCTATTCGACTTAGGCATTAGAATGTAAATAACACAAATCCTATTTTTAATTTCCAAATATTTCATATCGTAGTGATATATGCCGCCTTGAAGGAATAGGTATGTCGAGGAAGTCGTGCGGAGCTGGAGGTGCCGCCTATCTCTATTACACAGGTGGCCCCTTACATGGAGGTGCCATATATATTACACATATCTTTCGATAAGCTTTTTCAGAAATATGGCTACTAGGTTGCCCAGGACGTCTTGGATTGGTGGCTAGCCATATACGATGAGGCTGTCCCGGTGCAATGGTGTAGTGTGTTCCAATTGTTGATGGACTTCTAAAAGTCTATGGGCCGTTAAGGTCTAGTGCAACTTGCCCAAGGAGGTTAGGCCATTGTAGGAGACTGCCTGGCCGCTTCACTTGTAGTAGCCCCCAACACTCAGTGTATTACCTGGTTTCTGCAGGACAATGGCACGGTTCAATATGGCGGTGGACGAGGTGGCGCTATCAGGCGGTTAAGACCTGGCTTCGGGAACATCTCCCAATCGGGGTGGTTCAGCGCGGAGGGGTCAGTATATAGGCCTTGCCTATGACCAAAGTGGATGAGGAATTCATTACCCAATATGTTGATAGACGGTATGGGTTGTATCGATAGTTTCAGGTCGCATAGCGTCTAACCTAGGGTAGAGGATATGCTCCGCTAAACGCCGAGCATATACAGCTTATCGAAAAGTGTCGAAAAATGTTGTTTTAATTCTAGCCTTTTTGTAGCATAAGAAAGGTCCGACATTGAATTTGTTAGACGGTGTTTCAAAGGGAAATCTCAAGGGAAAAGAGGTTCAAAATCTAAAATTATTTCGAAACAGGGATTCTAGCTAAATCGTTGTATTTAAAGTTCTAGTTGCGTAGGAAAATTGATTCTGTCAAAAGGTGGAAGTAGTAGATGAGCAAATGTGGATAGGTAGTTGAAGAGAGTAGGGGACGATATGCGAACATATATCTATCTATATATATATATTACCCCAAATAATCCTGTGCCTCCTTATAAAATATTGGAAAATGCAATATTTTTGAGTGTTATACCTATCTTTATTTATTTCCTGGAAAGGAGTCAATATGAGCATAATTAACATAAAGCTCACCAAACATAAAGCTCACCAAAAGCACTTAAAAGTTTGTCTAATTAATAATTTAAAAGTGTGTCCATCGCTAAGCACTTAAAAATTTGCTATTATCGGATAGAAAATTCAATATTAAAAATTTCAGAAAATATTTTCCTAAGAATTATTAATCCTAGCCAAACCCAAATAACATTCAAGTTCTTCTAATATTTAAAAATGCTTTACCACTAAAATGAGAATTCAATATTAAGGAATTCATAACCCACCATTTTCCTAAGAATCATCAACCCCTAAAATATTCAAGTTATTCTATCATCTCAAACATTCGTTATCACTAAATTAAATTATTTCACAAAAATAATTTCCATTAATCTTATTAAACACCAAGAGTATTAAAACCACCCCATAATTTTTATTTGTTTTTCAAAAATTATAGGATTCAAAATTCAAAATTCCCAAAAAATAATTTCTCAAATTCTTAAATCTTAAATCCATAATTTTTAATATTTATTTTAAAAATATTTAGATTCAAAATTCAAGATTCAAAATTCCCAGGTTTTTTTTTTATTTTTTTAAATTTTAAATCCCAAAATGTTTAATAATTTTTAAAATTAAATATATTCAAATTCTTTCAAATTGTAAATGTTAATATCATTATTTTATCATATTTATATATATATATATATTATATATATATAATCCTCCCCCCAATTTTAATACAAATTCAAAAAGCAAAAAAAAATAGAATACATTAAAAAAATATAAATCAACCGCACCAAACCAAGATCTATAAAAGGAGGAGAAAAATACCACATATATATAGTTTTATAAATTAAAAATATATTAATAATAATGTAAATATATAATATAAAATAAAATATTCTAAATAAATTATAAAAAATTTAAAAAAAAAAAATATATAAAAATTATAGATTTTTTCGGTTCTAAATATATTTATATAACCCTTTATGAAAATTATATATATCAAAACATTATTATTATAATATCATATAAATTTGTTATTTGCAAAATAGTTTTTAAAATTCGTAATATTATATTATAAAAAAATATAAATAATTTAATAAAACAAAAAATATATATATTAATTTATATATAATTCAAAAATATTTAATAATTATATAATAATTCTACCAACCAAATAATATATCCCTATTCCATTAATTTATAAATCATCCAAATAATATTTCGAATTATTTTAATTTTAATAAATAAATATATATATATATAATTAATATTACAAAAAAAAATATATTTTCAATTTCTCATAAATATCTTAAATACATCTTACTGAAACTACACCAGCCAAAATAGGCCCCATAGAGCCGCACCAGGCCAATTACTGGGACCCCGAATCGCTTTGCATCAGCGCCCTGCACCAGTGCACCCTAGCAACGCTCAAAAATCGCCTTCTGCGAAACACACGCACTTGCACCATCACTTGCACCTGCAAGACTTGGGTCTCCAGATCGGAGAGAACTTCCCTTTCGAAACTGTCTTAACGAGAAGTCAGAACCCCCTAAAGCCACAAAGCCTTCAGCTATCGGGAGAAAAGCACGGGCTTCAAAGTGCGATTGAAAGAACCCTCAAGGCCTCGAAATCGACAATTCAGAGGCCTGCTTTAGAGCCACCCGCGGCTGTAAATGTCACATACTGTGGATGGATGAAATCCTGCACCACCTAAGAAACCATGACAAACCACTGTTTGTTGGCATTTACAAGGAATCAGACCATTCCTGGGCTTCTGAGGCGGTGCAGGATTTCGTCCATCCACAGTATGTCGGGCAAAGAGGCAGACGACGAGTACCCCCCACAGCCTGGCGCGCGGGGTCGCAGGTTGACCAGCTTCAGGGTGTTGGCAGTGTCGAACACGAAAGGCCCATCGTGGTCCTCCACCGACTGACGTTCCAGTCAAACCAAGTTCCTATCCGTATGTTGGTGATTGCCCCGTGTTTCTGTGATCTTTGAAAGGGCCCAGATCTGGAGGACTGCACCAATCAGAGGTGGTTGCTTTCTTGCAGGGGTTCCTTTGACTAGTAGGACCCTTCAGAATCCGAAGCCAACAGTGCTGAGAGAAGTCCCAATGGCCGTAGTTCTGCTTGTGAAGGGCCCTAGTGCCACAGGGATAGGGCAGTCCTCAGGCATTTGGTTGTCTTTCTCGTTGGTGACAAGGTCCATGTCGAAGCCTTACACAGCAATCAGAGCCAAAATGCCAGAGAACCAGTCGTGTATCAAGAACCCAAAGGAAAATCTGATTTGCCTGCTCGTCTATGCGCACGCTCAAATACACACAAGCTTTCTACAACCATGTCTGTGGGGAAGTGTGCACGTGTGAATTTTCCTGGGCGGATAAATGAGCTTTAGGATGTGTGCATGTGTGCATAAGCTTAATGTGCCTACGGGTCTTGCAGCTTGAGCAGCGCATCACGAAGGATGCCAGTAGGGCCGAAATCTGCGACCGCGCATGCCTCGCATGGAGAGATGCGAGAGTGTGGTGGCCGAAGTCTCTGACATGCGCAGCTGTGAGCGCACGCATAAGGATTGGTGGGGCCCCTTCAAATGGATGCTGTTGGAGTCATGCCAGAGCCATGCTGGGAGCAAGTTGGCTCGCTTGTCCACACGGCCATGATTGGTTTAAGCTGTTGGGCCTATGGCTAAAAATGGATAAAACAGCACACGTGAGTTCCATGCATTCGGCCATCGGATACTTCAATTGCGAACTGAAGCTGAGGCCAAGGCAGCTCGCCGGTGCAGCGCTTGCGTCCGTGGCCGAAGGCAACGATCTCCCTGTCCTTGTTCATCTGGTTGAAGGCCTGGAGGAACCCCAAACCTTGAAAGCAAGTTGCAATTGGAGCACTGCGATTTTAACTTGCCATGTTTTACGGTTGGCTCATGCGAAGAATCACGTGAAATGGAGTTGTATAGCTGGTGAGATCTGTTGCAGAATCCTGCCTCTGGATCTGTGTACCGATGGGGGCAGAATGATGCTGCGTCCGGAAAGTACTTGTCATCCTGCCCAAAACGAGATCTCTCTCAACGATGGGCAAAGCTGGTTGTCCAGAGCCTGATCAGCAAGCCTTTTCCATGGTTCGTTCGCATCCAAACGTGCGCTCATGTGCTTTTAAAGGATAAGCCCCTCCACGCGGGCCGGAACGCCAGGACTGTCTCCTTGTGCACGGCATCCGCGTACAAGAAGAGCGTGGCCTTAGGGCTGCATTCACCGAGGTATGGCTCCAAAGGGCCATGTCCAACGGTCAAACGTCGTTCCCTTTGATAGGAATTCAATGATTCCCTTTGAACGGGTCCGTGAGTCCGTGAACCCCAAGTAACCAGATCTTTTTGACCATGGAACACATCACTCTGTTGCTTTACACCCCTCCTGCGCTTACCAGAAAGCCAAAGTCAACCGCAAAATCCAATTGAGACCGGTGCCCCTTTGGGAATCTTGAAGCCGCCAAACTCCATGGGAATCTCGGCCTGACTCCGAGCAAAGCAACGGCACCGGCAAAAGAGGTCAAGGGCTCCGGCAGATCTCAGAGTGAGCTTGGAAGGAATATCGCCTCAGCGCCAACATTCAGTTCTTCCACTTGCACCAACTTGCGTTAATGATTTTGATGGATTGGAAGCATTCCCCCATGTTACCCCCAAGGACCTGAGTCACCTCCAACCCTGATGACTCACCGACCAAACAAACTGGAAACGCATTCAAATATGTTTCTGCAGCTTTCACTCAAACCAAGATGAAACAAATCGGCCAGTGCCTAGGTGAGCTGTCTGCCAAGGCACTGTGCAATCTCACAGCTTCAGTGATGCAGGCGTTTGTCCTGGGCAGCCATGAGCTGCACTTCTCTGCCACTTCACATGTTGGCAATGGTTGTGCTTTGATTTGGGAAAGCCTGATACAGCATAGGGAAGAATTCGAGTGAGAACTTGAACGGGCGCCGTGAATGATGCTTGCCAGGGTCTCCATGAGCATGGGTGCGTATAAAATATGTATGTTTATTGCTAAAGAGAAGCAAAGAGAGAGAGAGACAAAGAGCGAGAGAGAGAGAGAGGAGAGAGAGAGAGACAAAGAGAGAGAGAGAGAGAGAGAGAGAGAGAGAAAAGGGGGGAGCGAGAGAGAGAGAGAGAGAGACAGAGAGCGCTAGCAAGATAGAAAGAGACAACAAGAGAGCGAGAGAGAGGGAGAGAGAGAGCGAGTGAGGGAGAGGGAAAGAAAGAGAAAGAGTTTGAGCAAGAGAAGGAGAAAGACCAAGAGGAAGGGACAAAGAGAAGGAGAAATAAGAAAGAAGAAAGAAGAAGGAAGAAAGAAGCAAGGTAGACAAAAGAAGAAAGATGAAACAAGAAATAAGAAAGGAGAAAAAGACAAGAGAAAGCTCCTAAATCAAATAAGATACCAACCCCATGTCAGATCTATGGGAGCAGCACCAATTGTGTTCGACCAAGTGCCAACTTTGCCAGCAACAGAGACACATCCCCGCCCTTCTCAGTGCACGGCAGGCTGAGACTCAACAGGTCGTCCAGCTTCAAGTCCCGAATGCCACAGCCCTGCTGCCCCGCCCCATGCACCACACTTGGGAAGTGGGGTTCCCTGAAGATAGCTACTCTTGCAATCTTGGTAGCATGGGTCATGTCTCATGTCTGGACACGGCGACATATTATGACCGCACGAGAATCACTGGCACCGCAGCCTTCTTGAGCAAGAGCTGCTGCACCTCCGCCCGGACCCCGGCCAGGATTGCTGGGTCACCGTAGACGTGAGACATCAGCCACCGGATGGTCACCTGCCGTCTTCTGCGTAGGACACACGGCCTAATCATTGCTCGGCGCAAATGTTTCTCGAAATGAGACACATGCCAAAAACGGTCTCCTTTCAAAGCCACCGGAATGAATGCGCAAGACAACTCAGCTTGCCCCGCCAGCTGGTTCCCGTTGGCGGCCAACTGCAAGGTTAGCATGAACTGCTGAAGACCTTGGCTTCGAGAACAAGAGCAGAACGGAGGCAACCAATCACAACAAGCAAGTGACTCCATGAGCGCAAGACATGCGTGGCCAAACCGCCCCCGCAAACGATGCTCGGCTTTGCCGCTTGCGCTTGCAAGGTCGAGGGACGGCTAGGTCATCATGCACGGACATTCACAAAATCAGGACCCCTTCAAAAAATGGATATGGAAGGGAAACCAGCAGGAGCCCAAAGCAGCCGTATTCAGACATGGGACAGCACAAGACATGTTCTTAAAAGAAGGAACTGGCCTGTCCTCCGGATCTGAGCCGTCGGCCCGTGAGCATCTCCTCATCCGCCTCACCTGACAGCTCCCGTAAGATGACATGGCACGCACAGGTTGCGCTTCGTGTGTCGCGCCTTTGGAGAGCAGGAAGAACTCTTCAAAAAGGGAGTCTTCTCCGAGATACTTCTCCTTGGAATGGTCGCATTGACTCATGCAAGCCTGTGAGGCAAAATAGCAAAGTGCGGCGGTAACACCCCGCTTTAGCCCATTGCTGCAATAGAAATAGAACCTTCCCTTCGTATTTCCGCAAAGCATCTGGATGATCTTTCCTGTCCTGAGCAGCTCAAGCGATGCTGCAACATAGCTTGGTCGTACGTTGCCAATGCTCTCTTTGGGCAAAAGAGACACCAGGCCTGGTATCTCTCGTTCAGCACCTGCCGCAGGTCATCGCCTGCTTGGCGAACTTGAGACGAGAATAGCCCCTCCTACGATGGCAACGCAAGGATCCCGAGCCAAAGGGCCATTCGAATATAGGCAGATCCCCATGCCTCAGAAGCGAGGCCTGAAACTGACTCCCAAACTGACTCACCAGACTCTTGAAGCGGAGCTTCAGCGCATGAGAATCAAACAAAACCACGGAAGGCGTAGGTTTGGCTGTTCGGCCCCCTGCCAACCGTGTGTGTGCATAGTATCGAGAAGCATGCTTCACGCAAGACGCACGGAAAAAACAAGAACGCCAGATCAAGAAACGTGTTGTGGGGCCATGGTTTGCCCGCATGCATGAGCGTCTTGGAATGAAATCAGCGCCCGCGGCTCCTTGTTGATGCTAGAGATGGTCTTGCACACAATGCTGCCAGCCTCACTGTGCTTGCATCCCGGGGCTGCAAATGCAGATGCTTGTGTACGCGCACGCATGTGGCCAGGTGTGAGCTAGTATGCCTACCACATTGCCCAGCCGGTGCGCACGGCGATGAATTCAATCGTGGCAAGCCGCATTCTCACCGTTGCCATACAGCATGTCGGCGTTGGTCTGAACCTGGGGAGCCAGCAACATCTGCTGCAAATATGCTTGCTTCAGGGCCTCCAAATGAGAGCAATTACGACCAAAGCACGATCAACTTTTCAAGCGCAAACCCTGAGTCAACAAAACCAGACTCAGTTTGACTCATCCCTGCCAAATGCGGATGATGTCTAAAAGAGACAGTTCTCTCTGACCTAGTCTGAGCTCCGCTCCACGTAGGTCCAAAGCTTCTCAAACACATTCTCATCTGGCCTGGCTAGAATGATGCCCCAGTGAAAAGGTCTGAGGAAAACTTTGAGTGCGCCGCTTGAGCACGCGCTCCATTTGGTCGCAGAAGTCCTGAGACGGTCAGATCTCCATGGCAGTGTGCGGCTCCGCTTGCTGTCTGACATGTCAAAGCCAAAAGCCATTCCACGAACAAACCCCGCCGACTCCGGGGAGACAGCCGTGAATTCAAACTAGGTGGTGTAAGCAGCGCAGACAATAAAAAGATCTAAAAAATCTAAATGAACCCTAAGGCATCAAACAAAATGGAGACTAAAAATACAAACTATCAGGCATCAAAAAAGACTTCTTCCCAGAAAACCATCCTCAGCATCAGCGGCAAGCCGGTGGCATTCGCATTGGTTAAGAGCTGATTTAGTTAGCAGGGACTTTAGATTGGATTCGACCGGGTGGAATTGGTGTTGTGATAGGGTGGGTTGATGGCTGGATCCAAAACTTTCGAGCTGTGTTTCAAGGGTGGGTTAAGGTGGGTGGGTGGGTTTTTGGTTGGCTGAGAGTTAAGCTCAGGTGGGTTCCGAGTTGGCTAAAGATTGATCTAGGATGTAGTTGGTTGCTTCTGTTGTTGTCCACCCCCACCCACCCACCCACCCGGGAGGGTCGGTGGATGGCAGGTGTCGTTGGATGGCAGGTGTCGGCTTAGTTTCAGGCTTGTTTAGGATGCATGCTTCTTTTGTCATGTTGGTTTAGTCTGTTTTTAGTGTGGGTTTCAGGTTGGTTTAAGCCTGATTCCTACGAAGCAGTGGGCCAAAAGCAGCCAGTGCTGGTCTCAAAATACCTGGTAATTGGGGGAGCGTCTCCCGGACGGGTGGTAACCTTCAAGCAGTGCACTGTGTTGCATCCAATGCAGTGTAAGCGGTCCTCCGCCGAGTCAACAAAAATCTGCGTTGCTCGAGCAAGCCTCAGTACTCTGCGAACGTGTAGGTCAATTCAGCAAAGGCTGACATGATTTGCCATCGCCAGCTACGCTTTGAGCAACGCCACAAAAGCATGCTGAAAACAAAAGGAAATCTCCGACGCTCAGCTCGGAGCGCTTTCTTGTTGGCGAAGAAGTCTGCAGATGCTTTGTCGAAAATCTTGCCAGATTCCGTGCTCTTGCGCTCCTCGCCACACAAGATCACAAAACGGTCGACATGTACGCGTCTTGCCCAATCGGGGAGACCACCCAAGTCAGCAAGACTGCAAGCCAAGCCAAGCTCCAGCAAGGAAAGCCGATATTCAAGACAGCCATGAGCTTACCCTATTTGACGGTTCGAGTAGTGCCTTGCCAGGATCGACCAACAGCTTCAAAGCCCCAAACCACTGAACAAAAATCGCTAACAGGGTGAAACTCTCCTGGACAGTGCTTGACAAAAACATGCAATACCAAGTCTGCCCACCCAGCGTCGCACGCCAACAAGCATCTCAAGCAAAGCATGACGCACACTCTCCAAATCGCACTTCAGTTGCCTATGTGAAGTAGTAACAAAATGATGTCCTGATCAGTGCTCGTGCTCATTACGTTTCGGGTCAGCACGATTTGCCCTCTCAGTCATTGTCCAAAGGACATATCATCACGCCAGAACGCAGCAAATCAAGTCAAATTCACTATCAGGGTGCAACTCTACTGGACATTGCTTCACAAAGCATGCAATTCCAAGTCTGCCCACCCAGCGTCGCACGCCAACAAGCATCTCAAGCACAGCATGACGCACACTCTCCAAATCGCACTTCAGTTGCCTATGTGAAGTAGTAACAAAATGATGTCCTGATCAGTGCTCGTGCTGATTACGTTTCGGGTCAGCACGATTTGCCCTCTCAGTCATTGTCCAAAGGACATATCATCACGCCAGAACGCAGCAAATCAAGCCACATCCACTATCAGGGTGCAACGCTCCTGGACGGTGCTTGACAAAACATGCAATACCAAGTCTGCCCACCCAGCGTCGCACGCCAACAAGCATCTCAAGCACAGCATGACGCACACTCTCCAAATCGCACTTCAGTTGCCTATGTGAAGTAGTAACAAAATGATGTCCTGATCAGTGCTCGTGCTGATTACGTTTCGGGTCAGCACGATTTGCCCTCTCAGTCATTGTCCAAAGGACATTATCATCACGCCAGAACACACCAAATCAAGTCAAACTCACTATCAGGGTGCAACTCTACTAAACACTGATTCACAAAACATGCAATACCAAGTCTGCCCACCCAGCGTCGCACGCCAAGCATCTCAAGCCAAGCATGACACACACTCTCCAAATCGCACTTCAGTTGCCTATGTGCCGTAATTACAATATGATGTCCTGATCAGTGCTCGTGCTGATTACGTTTCGGGTCAGCACGATTTGCCCTCTCAGTCATTGTCCAAGGGACATATCATCACGCCAGAACGCAGCAAATCAAGCCACATTCACTATCAGGGCGCAACTGTCCTCGACATTCCTTGACAAAATATGCAATACCAAGTCTGCCCACCAAGCGTCGCACGCCATAGGCAACTATGTGCCGTAATAACAACATAATGTCCTGATCAGTGCTCGTGCTGATTACGTTTCGGGTCAGCACGATTTGCCCTCTCAGTCATTGTCCAAGGGACATATCATCACGCCAGAACGCAGCAAATCAAGCCACATTCACTATCAGGGCGCAACTGTCCTCGACATTCCTTGACAAAATATGCAATACCAAGTCTGCTCACCGAGCGTCGCACGCCGCATTTCAGTTGCCTATGTGCCGTAATAACAAAATAATGTCCTGATCAGTGCTCGTGCTGATTACGTTTCGGGTCAGCACGATTTGCCCTCTCAGTCATTGTCCAAAGGACATATCATCACGCCAGAACACACCAAATCAAGCCACATTCACTATCAGGGTGCAACGCTCCTGGACAGTGCTTGACAAAACATGCAATACCAAGTCTGCCCACCCAGCGTCGCACGCCAACAAGCATCTCAAGCAAAGCATGACGCACACTCTCCAAATCGCACTTCAGTTGCCTATGTGAAGCAGTAACAAACTGATGTCCTGATCAGTGCTCGTGCTGATTACGTTTCGGGTCAGCACGATTTGCCCTCTCAGTCATTGTCCAAGGGACATATCATCACGCCAGGACGCAGCAAATCAAGCCAGATTCACTATCAGGGTGCAACTCTACTAAACATTGATTCACAAAACATGCAATACCAAGTCTGCCCACCCAGCGTCGCACGCCAAGCATCTCAAAGCCCAGCGTGACTTCAGTTGCCTATGTGCCGTAATAACAATATGATTCCTTGCTCTTGCGCTCCTCGCCACAGCAAGATCACAAAACGGTCGACATGTACGCGTCTTGCCCAATCGGGGAGACCACCCAAGTCAGCAAGACTGCAAGCCAAGCCAAGCTCCAGCAAGGAAAGCCGATATTCAAGACAGCCATGAGCTTACCCTATTTGACGGTTCGAGTAGTGCCTTGCCAGGATCGACCAACAGCTTCAAAGCCCCAAACCACTGAACAAAAATCGCTAACAGGGTGCAACTCTCCTGGACAGTGCTTGACAAAACATGCAATACCAAGTCTGACCACCCAGCGTCGCACGCCAACAAGCATCTCAAGCAAAGCATGACGCACACTCTCCAAATCGCACTTCAGTTGCCTATGTGAAGTAGTAACAAAATGATGTCTTGATCAGTGCTCGTGCTGATTACGCTTCGAGTCAGCACGATTTGCCCTCTCAGTCATTGTCCAAAGGACATCATCACGCCAGAACGCAGCAAATCAAGTCAAATTCACTATCAGGGTGAAACTCTACTGGACATTGCTTCACAAAGCATGCAATTCCAAGTCTGCTCACCGAGCGTCGCACGCCAAGCATCTCAAGCCAAGCATGACACACACTCTCCAAATCGCACTTCAGTTGCCTATGTGCCGAAATAACAATATGATGTCCTGATCAGTGCTCGTGCTGATTACGTTTCGGGTCAGCACGATTTGCCCTCTCAATCATTGTCCAAAGGACACATCATCACGCCAGAACACACCAAATCAAGCCACATTCACTATCAGGGTGCAACGCTTCTGGACAGTGCTTGACAAAACATGCAATACCAAGTCACGCCAACAAGCATCTCAAGCAAAGCATGATGCACACTCTCCAAATCGCACTTCAGTTGCCTATGTGAAGTAGTCCTGATCAGTGCTCGTGCTGATTACGTTTCGGGTCAGCACGATTTGCCCTCTCAGTCATTGTCCAAGGGACATATCATCACGCCAGAACGCAGCACATCAAGCCACATTCACTATCAGGGCGCAACTGTCCCCAACATTCCTTGACAAAATATGCAATACCAAGTCTGCCCACCGAGCGTCGCACGCCGAATTTCAGTTGCCTATGTGCCGTAATAACAACATAATGTCCTGATCAGTGCTCGTGCTGATTACGTTTCGGGTCAGCACGATTTGCCCTCTCAGTCATTGTCCAAAGGACATATCATCACGCCAGAACACACCAAATCAAGCCACATTCACTATCAGGGTGCAACGCTCCTGGACAGTGCTTGACAAAACATGCAATACCAAGTCTGCCCACCCAGCGTCGCACGCCAACAAGCATCTCAAGCAAAGCATGACGCACACTCTCCAAATCGCACTTCAGTTGCCTATGTGAAGCAGTAACAAACTGATGTCCTGATCAGTGCTCGTGCTGATTACGTTTCGGGTCAGCACGATTTGCCCTCTCAGTCATTGTCCAAGGGACATATCATCACGCCAGGACGCAGCAAATCAAGCCACATTCACTATCAGGGCGCAACTCTCCTGGACATTCCTTGACAAAACATGCAATACCAAGTCTGCCCACCCAGCGTCGCACGCCAACAAGCATCTCAAGCAAAGCATGACGCACACTCTCCAAATCGCACTTCAGTTGCCTATGTGAAGCAGTAACAAACTGATGTCCTGATCAGTGCTCGTGCTGATTACGTTTCGGGTCAGCACGATTTGCCCTCTCAGTCATTGTCCAAAGGACATATCATCACGCCAGGACACACCAAATCAAGCCAAATCACAAACGAGACCCAACTCTCTTGGACATTGCTTGACAAAGCACGCAACACCAAGTCTGCATTGCATGCCCAGCATCTCAAGCAAAGCATGACGCACACTCTCCAAATCGCACTTCATTTGCCTATGTGCCGCAATAACAGCATGATGTCCCGATCAGTGCTCGTGCTGATTACGTTTCGGGTCAGCAGGATTTGCCCTCTCAGTCATTGTCCAGAGGACATATCATCACGCCAGAACGCAGCAGATCAAGCCAAATTCACTATCAGGGTGCAACTCTACTGGACAGTGCTTGACAAAACATGCAATACCAAGTCTGCCCACCCAGCGTCGCACGCCAAGCATCTCAAGCCAAGCTCTCCAAATCGCACCTCAGTTGCCTATGTGAAGTAGTAACAAAATGATGTTCTGATCAGTGCTCGTGCTGATTACGTTTCGGGTCAGCACGATTTGCCCTCTCAGTCATTGTCCAAAGGACATATCATCACGCCAGAACGCAGCAAATCACGTCAAACTCACTATCAGGGTGCAACTCTCCTGGACATTGCTTGACAAAACATGCAATACCAATTCTGCCCACCAAGCGTCGCACGCCAAGCATCTCCAGCAAAGCAGGACGCACGCTCTCCAAATCGCACTTCAGTTGCCTATGTGCCGAAATAACAATATGATGTCCTGATCAGTGCTCGTGCTGATTACGTTTCGGGTCAGCACGATTTGCCCTCTCAGTCATTGTCCAAAGGACATATCATCACGCCAGAACGCAGCAAATCGAGCCTGGCAGGGTGCAACTCTACTGGACATTGCTTGACAAAACATGCAATACCAAGTCTGCCCACCCAATGTCGCACGCCAAGCATCTCAAGCAAAGCATGACGCACACTCTCCAAATCACACCTCAGTTGCCTATGTGCCGTAATAACAATATGATGTCCCGATCAGTGCTCGTGCTGATTACGTTTCGGGTCAGCACGATTTGCCCTCTCAGTCATTGTCCAAAGGACATATCATCAAGCCAGAACACACCAAATCAAGCCACATTCACTATCAGGGCGCAACTCTCCTGGACATTGCTTGACAAAGCATGCAATACCAAGTCTGCCCACCGAGCGTCGCACGCCAAGCATCTCAAGCAAAGCATGACGCACACTCTCCAAATCGCACTTCAGTTGCCTACGTGCCGCAATAACAGCATGATGTCCTGATCAGTGCTCGTGCTGACTACGTTTCGGGTCAGAACGATTTGCCCTCTCAGTCATTGTCCAAAGGACATATCATCACGCCAGAACACACCAAATCAAGCCACATTCACAGTCTCCAAATCGCAATTCAGTTGCCTATGTTCCGGAATGACAACATGATGTCCTGATCAGTGCTCGTGCTGATTACGTTTCGGGTCAGCACGATTTGCCCTCTCAGTCATTGTCCAAAGGACATATCATCACGCCAGAACACACCAAATCAAGCCAAATCGCAAACGAGACCAACCTCTCTTGGTCATTGCTTGACAAAGCATGCAATACCAAGTCTGACCACCCAGCGTCGCACGCCAACAAGCATCTCAAGCAAAGCATGACGCACACTCTCCAAATCGCACTTCAGTTGCCTATGTGCCGGAATAACAATATGATGTCCTGATCAGTGCTCGTGCTGATTACGTTTCGGGTCAGCACGATTTGCCCTCTCAGTCATTGTCCAAAGGACATATCATCACGCCAGAACGCAGCAAATCAAGTCAAATTCACTATCAGGGTGCAACTCTACTGGACATTGCTTCACAAAACATGCAATACCAAGTCTGCTCACCGAGCGTCGCACGCCAAGCATCTCAAGCCAAGCATGACACACACTCTCCAAATCGCACTTCAGTTGCCTATGTGCCGGAATAACAATATGATGTCCTGATCAGTGCTCGTGCTGATTACGTTTCGGGTCAGCACGATTTGCCCTCTCAGTCATTGTCCCAAGGACATATCATCATCACGCCAGAACGCAGCAAATCGAGCCTAGCAGGTTGCAACTCTACTGGACATTGCTTGACAAAACATGCAAAACCAAGTCTGCCCACCGAGCGTCGCACGCCAAGCATCTCAAGCAAAGCATGGCACACACTCTCCAAATCGCACTTCAGTTGCCTACGTGCCGTAATATTAGCATGATGTCCTGATCAGTGCTCGTGCTGATTACGTTTCGGGTCAGCACGAATTGCCCTCTCAGTCATTGTCCAAAGGACATATCATCACGCCAGGACGCACCAAATCACACCAAGTCACCAATAGGTGCAGCCTTTTTTCAGAAATGGCCAGACAAACACGCAACTCAAAGGCTGGCCCCTGCGCGTTGCACGCCAAGCATCTCAAGCCAAGCGTGGCACACTTTACAGATCGCAATGCAGCTGCATCTCTCTTTCTATTTTGTTCGGATTGCCATAGACTCACACAACAATCAACCAGTGACGAAAACAGGATTTGCCAATCTGACTATGTTTCGGCTCAGCACTATGGATCAGTCAGTCCAAGGCGTCAGGATAAACCAAAGCACAAAGCATATCTCCTGCACATGTCTTGCCACCGCTTCAAATGTCAGAAACTGCCCAGTTCAATTATGTTTCTTCAAATACAACGGATATGTTGACTGATGTACTGCCTCCTATTAACTATTGTGTTGGTCTCCTCTTTCAACTTTTGTTTGACACCTTGCCCTTGTGAAGAGACACTCCCATTTGCCTCCCAAACGGACGTGTCGTCAAATCTTGTATTTCATGCTCTTCTTCTTATATTTTCCACCCTTTCCCGAAACATGCTTTCCTCGCCAAAACGCCCGGACGCGATCGCTCCTTGGTGCCCATTGTCTTCTTGCCCGACACAGCCGTCCCGACCACTCCGCCCAGAGCCTGGTCCTCAGCCACCCCGCACCAACTGTCTTGGAACGTCTGAAACAAGCCAAACAAAAAACTCCAAACTGTTGAAACCTCTTGGTTTGAAACAAGCTTTGGAAACCCAACTGTCTTGGCTTCGTATATCAACCAAAACAAGTCCACCATCCTGAAAAACACTCAAAGGGGAGTATTTCACGTTAGGCATGCCCTCGCCTCCGAGATGGAGAGGGCTGAGCTGGAGCCCAGGGCCCAGTTAGGGACCCTGTATATTTCGCAGACTGGCACCGATCGCAGGGCCGCGGCCAAGTTCTTGTCTTGCTCCGTAAAGACAAACTGATTGGCCTCCCGCCTGCCAGAAGAGTTGAGGAAAGACGGCAATCGGAAAGAGAAAAAACCACATCGAACTGTGCCAGCGCCGCCCCATGAGCACGATGACCTCTCCGAAGAGACTGGGCCTCGGCGCCCAGGCGCCCAGGCATGGGATTGCAAAGGACAGCTCTAGCTGCTGCAAGGGCACACGTATATTCGGAAAGCATCACCATGTCGAGCCCTCATGTTCAGCAGCACACTGTCAAACCTCAGTGCGGGGACATGTGGTGGTTTCCTGAGACTCTTCCTTCACCCCGTCAGGAGTCTGCTCAAAACTGCCACTCCAAGCCATCTGTACCCCTTCAGAAGGGGCGAGCATTTTTTCCGAGCGTCCTGCCTCCCCCGCATCTGGCGGTCTGACACTCAGATTGTTGCGACTGCCCCGTGGCAAGCCCCTAAACAAAGCCAGGCGAGACATCACCGCGCTAGGTTCTCACAGATCAGATCTTCCAGCTCCCCGAGGCCCTGCAAGGGTGTGGCTTCAGGCGTCACGTACCGAGCCACGAAGTCGTGAAAGTTCTGCATGGAGTCGATCTTTAAAGAGTAGCATCCTGGGCTCAGCCACACTCACGATGCAAGTATCTCCTACTTCGGCCGGGTTTCTGAAGCAGTAGTGGCGCAAGAAGTTCAACAGGCCTGCCAGACCGCAACTTCATGCAGCTCACATGGCCACCCTCGCAGTGTGACCGTGGTACATTGAATGTCTTGTCCATCGCAACGCCAGTGTCCTTCTGGGTCAGTACCACTGCTGCCAAGCATTCCTGCGGCGGGACTCCAGATGATGCGGAGCAGTTTGACACCTTTAGGGAACAAAACAGTGTGCTCCGACTAAAGAAAGTCTGCAAGAAGGCCACCGCTACAAGTAGGTTGTCAGCCTGGATGAAACTCCATCACCAGGAACCGGATGCGTCCTGCGCTCAAGTGGAATGGTGCGCCCTACTGAAATGGACTGCTATCCAAACTGAACATAGGGAACCTCCTCCAATGTGCACCTTTTACAGACTACATCACCGCGACAATGTATCAACTCTGGTGCACAGTGGAAAACCTTCCCCCATTCCATGAGGGTTCCGACATCCTCGAAAAATTCGGTATTCGCATCACTGCACAGCAAAATCTTCCAGTCGACATAAGCTTGACATGATATTACACTGAATTCCCCAAACAATGTGAGAAATTGTCGATATTGTCACGTGCCCCTCCGAGCGAGTGTTCCTCTTTTGGTGATTGGTTTTGCCTTCAAATCTACCCGGATAAACCTCAAGTGACAAACAAACAAACAAAACACACAGTCAAGCAAAAGAGTACACAGACGCACAAACACAAACAACCCAACGCCAACAGGTTGTATCCTTCTGGTTTCCTGCTTGCACTGCCCATGAAAGATGTCCCTCCTCAAGCAACTCCGTGGTTGTTGTTTCTTTGTTGTTTCTTGGGTTGTTTGTTTGCTTATTTGTTTGCTTATTTGTTTGCTTTTTTGGGTTGGTTCTTGTTTTCAGCAAGGAACATATGGCTCCCACTTTCTTCGGAGGCGCTTACATGGCGGCCGGGCCTGATGACAGCAGGCCTTCCGCACCACGCAGCGCACCCATCTCGTAGCCTGCGGCAACATTTGGGTCGGACGGGGAGAATCCTCTGGAGCCCCGGAAATGTACCTCCAAGAATTGCATATCTTAGTATACAAAGAAGCTGTATGCTGAGCATCATGGGCATTCGAAAAATGCTTGGTACTCAAAAACTGTGGCAAGCATTTCAGGAAGTATGGAAAACTGTGATGGATGGCACGTAAGCAAACTTCGTCCAAGCAAGCAGGCATCGTTGTATACAAGCAGCAAGAACAACAAAAACAGAAGACCCATTGGCAGACCGCTTGACAGTCACCAGGTCTGGTACAACGACTAATCAGTCCCAAGCGTGGTCCAGGTCCCTTGCAGCAGTGTGTCTGAGACCAGAAGAATCTGCATTACTAGCATCCGGCAGGCCCCTCTTCGCAGTGTCAATGTTCCTGCTGGGAGATGCTTTGCATCGGAGGGGGGATAGCTCGGCATCTTAGTTCCTTTCAACAGCCTGCGTGCTCATGTGCCTCTGTGCCTGCATCCTGGTCTTCTCCGACACAAGTGCACGGCTGCTTCGAGACTGTGTGACATGGATCGATTCATTGACGTGGCTTCCTTGAAAGGATCTTTTATGGAAGCAGCTTTAGAAGGATCTGCACAAGGACAAGGGTCATTGAAAAGGAGCTTTATCAGGAGGGAGCCTTATAATGAGCCTTATAAGGAGCCTTCTGGGGCTTGGGTCCAGAGTTTATAGCCAGTATCAAAATCAAATCCAATCTTCTTCTTGAACTTTGTTTTAGGTTCTAGTATCCGTATCAAAGTCCTGATTAGTAAGAAATGTCTCTTCAGTCTGATCTACACTGGGCTCGCTCACTGCGCTGGTAAAAGTGTGCAGCAAAAAATATCAATACATAATATGTGGCATCTTGCGGCCGTACCTTTTGAAGGTATGATTCGGGGGTATGACTCGAGGTCGGGGGTGTGATTCGGGGGTATGATTCCCCAAGGTCCCATCTTCTGCCTTTTAAAGCATCTCCACACAACAACAAAAAGACAAACCCATATCAAAGCAAGGCTCGTGCACATATGGTCACACCTTCAGCAAAACATGCGGCGGCAACAAACAACATGAACAGCAAAACTTGATGGACAATGCCAACAAACCAACTTGGGAGGGGTGATGAAAAAAAAAAAGAAAGTGGGGAAACCACAGTTTGGGGGAAAATAAATCGCTCGAGAAAACCACAAAGAAAACAAAAACACAATATCTGGGATGACTCGTTGGTTTCATCGCCGCTTGGTTTTTGGTCTTGTGTTTTCCAAAAAAAACTCGGCTTGTTTTTGTTTTCTGACAATATCCCTCACAAAAAGCAAAAAACTCGAGGTTTGCTGGCGGGTGGACCTGGCCTTCTAAATTTCAAGTTGCTTGTTTCTTGTGAGGGAGAATGTCAAACAACCAAAAGACAGAGGGAGAACAAGAACCTCGAGAAAACCAAAAAACAAAGTCCGGGCTGAAACCAAAAGATTCTCCCCCAGTGATTGCATTTTTGTTTTGTGTGGCTTTTCTGCTTGTTTGGTTTTCGAAGTGTTTTCAACTGGTTTGCTTTGAAATGTTGTAACATCTATGAAATGCACTTGTATGCATGGGGAAAGTCAATTCGAGCTTACATGTGATTTACTTATTGCGCATGTCCCAAAACCGTGAAACAACAAGTTTGGTGAAACTTTGCAACACACAAAAAAAAAAAAAAAAACACTGAAAAAATACATGCTTGCCTGGCATGCCCAACTCAACGTGTGGAATGCCCCCAGAGACAAGAATCCGGTCACGGAATCTTAAACACCAGTCTACAACTCATAAACAAAAATACGATATTCGGCAGTCTGGCATTTCAAATGTGTATTGTCAATACACAAAACTTATTTGAAGGGCTTGAAAAAAAATGGAGAGAAAAAAAGAGGAAAAACAACACGGGGTGTACATATCTGTACAATGCATATATATATATATTGTGCAATGATGCATCGTACTACAAGTCAGATCTGGCAGTGCCAGCAGCAATACCGCCCAAAATTGGAGCCTTCAACATCGAGCTTCAGCAACTCAATGCTATCCACGAAAGGCAGGTAGGAGCCGATGATGTCATCGAGTGTGGTCATGGCGACCTCTTCCTCAAGCGGTTGTCACGCCAAGCCCGCTCATGTACGCAAAGAGTACCATCATGAACAAAAGGAACGGCCCTCAGCAATCAAGAAACATGGTGGGACTCGCGACACAGCCCTCAGTAGCTGACAAAAGCGACATAATTGTCGGCCTAGCTTCAACCACCATGTTGGGCGGCCCGGTCAAGTACCCCTGGTCCGCAATACTGCTGTAGTCATAGCGCGTGGTCATGTTCAATGCCCGAACCTTGGCAACAGCCAAGCCAAAAACAACATCATGATCCAACATGACATGCTTCAAGAACTGCCCTGTTGAACCTGGCTGTGAGCAATTTGCAGTCGTTGTTAGTGTCTTTAGGCAATTCAACAACTGCTGAGAGTCCCAAATCTTGATACAGCAGAATGTCTGCCTGCTGTCAAAGGGCGCGCTCTCCCAAAGCAGCTGCCATAATGTAGCTGTGGCCAAGCCTGTGCAACTGGTCTGACCGGGGTGTATTTCGAAAATGTTACAATTGGCTCCCTCATCCTCCTTCTCCTCTTCCTCCTCCAACTCCCAATGTCTCGTTGCCAATCCACCAAGAACGAGCTCCCCTCCAACCTGTTGCCTTGCTCTGCTCCCTGAAAGCAAAAGTATTCCTCGAACTACTTCCGTTGGGTTGCAACAGGCCTGGCCTGGACTCTGGCCTTTGGACAGATTGCCAGCTTTCTCGAGGTACCTATGCTGCACGAGGAAACACAACTGCTTGGCGCAAATAGGCCTGTTGTGCGGTACTACAAACCAAGAGCATGCTAAATAGAACTAAGACACGGGCTCTCCTGGCACAATGTGCAGGAAAGTGTGCGCAGTTCCAGAGTGTCGGACATGCTCGCCCAGCCGCACAGGCAATCGATCCTCCACCAGCTTTCTATTCTCCAGCAGCGGTTCGAAGCCAATCACCATGGCACCGGCCAAGACACCCATCAGGGACCAGTCGGTTCCATCAAACACGCCAGCATCCACCAAGATGGAGCCCGGCCGCAGGTTGCGAGCCAGCCTCAACACCTGACACTCTGCCACAGCCGCTCTCCAGTTGCAAGTTTGCAAGTCGCAGGTAAGGTCCCTGCTGACGCGTTGGAAAAATCATCCACCGGAGATGGACCTTCAAGGGAAAAACAAACACCAGTCAGAGAAAAGAAAGAGAGAGAGAGAGAGAGAAAGATGGAAAAAAAGAACGAGAAAAAAATGGAAAGATAAAAAAGAAGAACGAAAGAGAGAGCGAGAGAGAGAGAGAGAGCGAGAGAGAGAGATAGAAAAAGAAAAGAAAAAGAGACTGAGCGAGAGAAAGAAGAAAAAGAAAGATGGCTTTGCAACTCGTGCTCCGTCGTCAGAGAATGGAATTCAAGGTGCCAATGATGCAATCTACAACCGCTCCTCCAGACCATCCCCAGGCAGCAGCCAAGTTGCCCACCTCACCTTTTCGGAAGGGGTACCTGGATGCCGGCTGTGCTTCTCACTCTCGCAACTCTGTGTTTTGAGTTTCTGCGCGTTTCAGTCTGCTTTGGAAGGTGTCAAGACTCAAAATGTCAGCTGCACCTGATCATGGCTGGGACAAGTTGCTAGGATCTGGAACCCGGCAACATGAGGAGGTCGCTTTTCAGCAACAATCCGCTGGATGTTTCAAATGGGCCGAAAAGACAAAAAGCGACAAGTTTGACAACAGGACAATGCAAGAATTGATCAAAACTGATTTGGCCAAAGACTCACACCACTGGATCCCCATGAGCTGACATCAAAACCGGCAACTCCCAGCACCACGCTTTGGTTGAGGGGCAGCACCGCAGGCAGCGAGCAGGAGGCCGGCGCCAGTCGCCAGGGGTCCGTCAGCAGTGGCGCGGCATGCTGTCCATGTTGCCAAATTAGCCTCAGCACTTGTGTCCAACCCTGGAAGCTTGCAAAAAGGGCCTCTCTCCCTGGAAAACAAGTGCCTCCCCTGAACGATAAATGTCACAGGAAATCGGTGTTGGCGAACAACTTCATGCAGCGCCGGCAATACGAAGCAAAGGTTGATGATGCAGGTGAATTGTGGGTCAAAAGTGCCAACCTGACACGGATTGAGCTTCTTTGCTAAATGCTAGCTTATTCAAGGATGGACCTGGATCCGTCGATCTTTTCTAGGCGGAAAATGCTTTGGCTTGTTGCCAGAGGGATCTTCGATAGACATTTTGACAAATTGCCCAAACATGGCGAAGTATTTTGAACTTGGTCGCCTTGGCACAGTTTTTGAGGAGCTCAACCATGACGTTGCTAGCCCAGCCAATGTCTGAATTGCAACGAATGCACCAGTTCCTTCAGGGAAGTAGCAGATTTCCCCACACGAGCTTCAGAGAAGCTGAGGTTGGTTTGTCGGTTTTGTTCTCTCTAAAGGGTTCTCTTGGTTTGCTTGTGCAGCTGCCTCATGTAACCACGGCACGTGTAACAAATCCTGCGACCTGCGATCGCCCAAATACTGGTCACCCAGCAGAAATTTTGAGATTATGGCTTGGATGGTCCCTCTCATGATGTCACTACGAAGCAACTGATGATGATGCAGGTGATGTGAGTTGAAAGGGTCTGAAGCCAATTCGAAGCAAATGCTAATGATGCAGGTGATGCAGCTCAAAATGTGGTGATAGCTGTGTTTTGCGACTGTGAGTTGAACGGGCCCCGTCAATAAATGATGCAGTCACCACCTCCTTTCGCAGGGCAAAGGCCATGCGAAGCAAATGTTAATGATGCAGGTGATGCAGCTCAAAATGTGGTGATAGCTGTGTTTTAAGATTCCAGGTAGGAATGCGATGGTGACGGCAATATGGTTTCATGTGCCATCTTGCCACTGGAGACAAACCCAATTAGCCACGAACGCAACACAACTTGCGCCTGGAGAACACTCGGCAAGGCTTTGTTGCATCCCACTGCTACATGAATATGTCAAGAAACATCGGGTGCAAGGAAACCCAGCGGAAGCTCACCATTTGGGACTCGGCAGTCTTCACGTTTGACATACGTCTCAGATTCCTCAAGTGTGCCGAGTGGCTGCAACTGATCCAGCAGGCCGAAGTAAGGCCACGAAGATTGGCCAGACCGAAGCGCTAGAGGATTGAGCTCTCGTGCTGCTTGGCTGGCGAGGCCCAGCAAAGAAGCCTGAGGTTGAAGTGGGCAGTGCCGATTTGTCCACGCACGCTGTTGCTTTGGAATTCTGCTACGCGAGCGTCATTGAAACTAACTGCCACACGCCAGGCACAGCAAATGACACCGGAGGCCATAAAAAGGGACCCCATCGCCAGAACCGGCTACCGCTACCGCAGTTACCGCCTCTTCTGCGAGCTGCGCGCCGCTCCTCCATGATCAACGATAAGTACAGCACCAGAGAGAGCAATCCTTCCACGCAGTCCCGGTAGTTCACCTTGAACCACTCCTAAGTCGATGTCGTTTCGAAAAGACAAGTCACAAAAGATGGAGGTTTAGCGTTCAGTTTCGTCAATGTTTGAGGTGTGCATTGCCCGCTTATCTTAAAGTGTTTCAAGTCGGCTTGCCCCTCCTCATTGAGAAAACACGCCAAAATCAAACCAGAAATGGCCCCAGCTTGAACCAGGAGTCAAAGATCTCAAACTGGGTCAGCTCCAGCATGGTCGGGCTGAATTCTTGCCAATACTCCTGGACCCAGTTTGCTGCAGCAAGCTAAAGCTGAAGTGAGGCTTCTTGTGCACGGATCTCCACGCTAGCACCCAACTCTTGGAAAAAAATAAAAGGGCCCCGCAAAATTGTGTGGACCGCGGATGTACCAAGCACAAAGCATCAATGCATCAGGCTGCTGCAACATGTGTGTCCTCATTCTGAGATGCCTCTTGGAGAGCATCGTAGAGCCTTCCCCAACGCTCATCTTGGCATATCCCAGGCCGGCCGGCAGCCAGCCTCTCAGAGCTTTGGGAACTGAAAGGAACGGGCCGATCACAACAAGGGTAGACTCGGGTAGACTCGGGTAGACCTGGCAAGAGGCGACTTCGACGGCGAGAACAGTGCGATGCACGCGTGTGCCGGGCCTCAGGGCCAAGGATGCCCTGGCGAAGGACGCCAATTGAAAACTGGCAATCAACCCGGAAGCTCTTCAGACGATGCCGAACCCCCCGGCCAGCTACTTTTGTTGCCCCCGAGAAACTTATCACACGACCATGCTTAAGAGCAGTTTGTCGCTTTTGAAAGGCACCTGGCCTCAGCAGCCAAAACATGCAAGGCTCCCATGGCAGAATAAGAACAAGCAGCAGTCCGCCACAGACACCATACAAAATGCAGCAAGTAGTTCCGCTGAGTTGCCGATCTTCGCCACGCAGTGCTGTAGCTGGTGTGATGTTTGCTGCCAAGTCCTTTCTGCCAGCTTGTGCGGGTCCCCAGCTCTGGGTTTCACCTGTTTGTGTTCCTCGTCCTGCACACTTTGCTCCGCACGCCAAATGGCTACCCAATAAATCATGGATGCGTGCGGAGATGAAAAAGCCCCTGTCAACCGCAAGTCAGTTTGCCGTGTGAAAACACCCAGTGGTTGGCAATGTCTGCAATGCTTCTGCTCGTGGCCCAATCACAAATATGGCTGCTGAGGAGGCCGCGGCTGGCCGCTTATCACGTCCTTCGTGACCTGCACCCTCAGTGCCAATCAACCATAGACCTGCAATTGATGTGCTTAAATAGTCTGGCAAAAGCAAAAATCATACAAATTGCGGGAACCAGCAAGCCAACCAACTGTCCCCAAGGTCCCCGGCATGTCTCCCCAAGGAGGAAGCTCCTGATAAAACCAGCTCCAATAACAAAAGAAAGAGCCAGCAACGCTTTCTGCTAAGGGGAACAGGGGCCACTGGATGTCCACTGCAAAAGTTGCAACTGCTAAGGCGAACTATTTCAAGGTCCACAAAAAAAGGGAAAGGGCAGCGTTCCACATGCCATCCGTGGCGTTTCAAGCTCCTCCTCTTTGGCACCATCAGTGCGCTCCGAGGGCTTCAGGGCCAGAAGCAGTGCGCCCAGCCTCAACCGACGCGCAATGCACACGTGGGAGTGTCGATTGAGGCAACCGTTTTCAGCTTGGTTTGAAGGGACACCCCAGCAACAACCACCATTTTGGGGATCCCCCATCTCGACCTCACTTCCTGAGCGGATGCCTCATGTTGTGCACCACTGAAATGGTCTTCCCAAAAAATATAAAGGTTAAGGATCGTTCATGGCAGGGCATACCTTGTACCAAGGCAGCGGCAAAACTATGGCTCCAGCACCGACTGCCAACTCCACAGGAAAGCCTGCAGCTGTCGCATTCAAAATGAGTCCATAAAAAGACCTCAGACACTGCCACATGTCCGACATACAAAGCCGCTGGGAATCTTTGCGTGTCCGACAGCAAGACACAAAAGCAAAACACCAGCATCCCACCAGCGGATGCTGTTTCTGCCAGCAGGACCTGGACACCTCAACGCAAGACTTCGGGCCAAGGCTATAGAAATCCCCAAAACACTGTGAAGCTCACTCAGACTCAGGGAAATGGAAGTCTATGCTCCACCGTGACTGCCGACTCTTCAGTTCTACCCCAACTCCTCGAAACCAGGCGCCAAATATATTAACCGCCTGCAAGCTTCGCTTAAGCCGGCCACCGTCACCGAGGCCCGCCGCCCGGGCGCCCGTTCGGGCGCCCCGTTGGGACACCTGAGAACGCAAAGAAATGCCCGAAATTCCGGTGCAAGGGTTTATCCAACTGCAAAAATAAGGTTTGAAACTCAGAATCTGCCGATGCCATTGAGCCAAGCAGGATCACTTTGTTAGGATGAATGTTCTGAATCTGGTTTGACCTCCATGCAGCACAGCGGTCACGCGAACCTGCCTGCAGAAGCGAGGCCACGCTGGATGCCTTGGCCGGAGGGACACACGTTTCAGATCATGGGTTGAGCTTCCAACCCCGCAGCATCATGATATTTGACCCATGGTGGTGCGTTTCTCAACGTAATGTTCAACGTCGGTTGCTGAAGCATGAAAGAAGACTTACCACATGACACGTCCGCATGTAGGGCCGTGACGACGAAGTTCGTGCAATTAAGTCCTGCCAGCAAATCCAGTTGTAAATGATTTCACTTTCATCTTGCAACGTTGTCAGCAAGCAATGCGGTCCTTGAACCAATCCGTACAGAGCTGCCGATAAAGCACAAACATAAGGCAGCACTCGTGGCCGTCGAAGCAACCTGCACGTTCAAACTGATGCTTGCAACAAACCAAAAATCCGGCCAACCTTGAGGACACCATGCGGATAAATGTTCCTGTCAGCCGAAGAACATAGAGCAGAAATCTATGTCTAGCACGAACACTACTGAATGGAAGATACCACAGTGCAGGGCCTGTGGCAAGCTGCACGTAATAATGCACAAAGCAAGCAATTTGTGCTTAAAAAAGTACTACTGCAGCGGCACGAGTCCAATGCCAATGCTTCATATTTCACGTGGTCTCATGACTGGACTTCAAATCTCAACACAATGCAAAATTGGCCCACTATCGCATACATGCACCGTTTTTCCGCAACTCATATCCCTTGCGTTGCAATTCTGGCTTAGACTCCTTTCGTGTGATGTTTGTTCTGCTAATCGATGAAGCACATCGACCATGGGCGGTTTGCTTGACAAACCATAAGTGTCAGGTTGATGCTACAGAACATTCGCGCGCGGAAATGGACCTTGCTCGTGGTTGCATGTCAACGTCCCAACAACAAAGCGCAAAACCCTCATCTTGCCCAAAGCGCCAACGTCACGTAGTGCAATCGAACAATTTTCGCGCGTCGATGCGAGCATGCGGCACACAATGAACACATTTGGTTACCAGCACAACCACCTTCTACCTTGACCCCATGCCGTTCAATGCCATTCAAGTCGTTCAAAGCCGGCAAAATTGGAACCACCACTGCTGGGGCAACACCTACGCTGCCATGTATCACGTCTCATGATTGAGTTGCCTGTTGCTGCTGAGAGGAAACAGGAAGAACTGACATTAACTGATGTTCGTAATATTGAGATACATGTTGGGAGAGGAATAACTCCGTCAGATGACGAACAGTAGGAAACACAGTAAGCCATGAGAGAAATTATTCAACCATAGCAAATAAAGAATAGATTTAACACCACTTTAGAAACGTAAGTGAATGAATTAAACACAAAAACACATATTTGTCTGTAAAGAAAAATATGAAAATGGAAGTTTTACACTTAACGGCTTCGTAAACAGACTATCATGATAAGTGTAAATTTGTTCAGAATACTGATGGTAGATCAGTTCAACAAAAAAGCAATGAACACGATAAAGAGAACATGGATAAAAGCCAAAGTGGACGTCCGCAAGGCGAGTTCAAACTAAAGACAATCAAGGGCGTATTTGACAACCAAAATAATAAACATTTGAGTACTATGAATAAACACAAGATGAAAACGGGAAACATTGTTGGCTAGACACTTAAATACTAATAAGTGTCATGATTAACAAGTATGTAGAGCCTTCAGTTGGAACTTAAAAATGTGTTGTGAAATGTGGACTAGAATGGTTTAAAAGGAATTTGCGAAGGCCGCTCACGGTCAAATCACCTCGGGGAATTTCACCACTGTACAAAACAGCTTGATTGGCAAGGCAACTGGTCTTCACTTCTACCTCACTAACAAGGTGTCCAAAGTCAAGGAAACAGCTTTTGGCAATGACAAATCGCCAAAAAAATTCCAGAGCGGAAACCAAGGACATGTTTGACAAAGACTAGTGAGCCAACTCTCCAGCTTGTGGGATCGAAGCTGGATGCCGCCTGGCAGGCATTCTGTCGCTAGATTGGCACAGCACAAAACGTAAAACCCAAACCATGGAAAAAAAGCGGCTTCCAGTTTGTCGAGCAAAAACAAACCCGGAGTGTTACAACGGAAAGCCACGCACCATCACAAGTTTGAAGCAAAGATTAAATTACCGGTTGTTTAACACACCAGTCCGCTGTCGTAGCAACAAAGATGCACGCGGAGCCAAAGGCCAGATACACAGCACAGCGCTTAGGCTGCGTTTTCCCACATGCCGTCAGATTGTCTAGGGTAATGGAAAGATCCATCACCGGCAACAAGGCCGTCACCCGAAGGGTTAAGGCAGAAAGGGTTGAAAAACTAAGCCCTACGCCTGAAGTCTTTCAGAGGGACCGCACACCAGGCCTTCTTTCTTACAAGCCACGAAGAATTGTCGCTGCGCACAATGCACAGCAGAGTTGAAATCACAAGTTGAATACAAGGAGTGCAATCCACAAGGGCTCACTTGGGCAATATTGCCAGGACGAAACCATGAAGCCAGAGACTGCTGTCCTTAAATAAGACATGGGTTAGTGTCCTGTTCACTGCTTCAACTCTCTCTTTAGAGGGGATTTGCCGGGGTTCAATGCACCTGGGACTCGTCCGTCCAGGAAACGACCTCGTCCTGCGAAGGATTCGAAACCAAAAGTGCTGCGTGCAGGCGTGTGGCTGCAACATAACGACCCCTCGATTTGCTTGCAATTTGCCCCGTAGCTGCGTTTCGGAAGGCGAGCTAAAAACCAGGGAAAAAAAGGGAACTCCGGACCGACCGACCGACGGCCAGCCAAACGACCGACCGACCGACCGACCGACGGCCGAACGACCGACCGACCGACCGACCGACGGCCGAACAACCGACGACCGACCGACGACCGACCGACGATTGGGGGGTTCCAAAAAAAGGGGGTTCCTTTGAGGGGGCTCGCCTTGCAGAAACAAAGGGACGGACGAGTGTCAGAACCCTCCCAGGTGCATTGAAACCCGTTTGGGGAATCCCCTCAAAAGAGAGAGGTGCGATGTTCTATGTGCTTTCGCGCGGCGCAGTCTGCAGTCCACTGCTGCTGCTCAATATCCACTATTTACTTTTTCTTAACTTATAACAATTCTCCGCACGTCCTCCGCCGGCGGCGCCTCAATGTCGTGGGCCTCAAAGAACTTCTTCTGGACCTGCTTGCGGTCGGCCTTGAGGTTTTCCGAAGTGGGGGCCAGCAACCCCGACTGCGGGGTGGCCCAGAGGCCGCCCACGGTCCGTGTCACCCGTGACACAAACTATCGTAATCTTCAAAGCTGGGCTTACCCGACAAACCCATCGCCGGGCATCACCGGGCCAGCACCAGGCCACCAGACCACTGCCGGGGCAGTGCCGGGGCTGCCTCGCTGCTGTGTGTGAGGGTGCGAGACAAAATAATTAGAATCTTGATCAGCTTCAATCCGTAAGGGAACGCATTACGAGACAAAAGAGAACGACCGACAAAGGGTGCGCTCGCTTTTTTCTTTTGCAAGCGTTGTGGCGGGAGTGCGGGGGAAAGACAGTGTTCCCCGTGTCTGCACCCCTGCGGAGCCATTGGTTGCTGTAGGATGCTCTGCGGGACTTACTGGTGCGCTGCGGCACACAATGCAAGGCGAGGGCCGAGGCAGTGACTGCATGCGGGGCATGCGATCGCGGTAGCGGCACAACTGGAAGGCTGGGACCTGCCAAGGCAGTCGCTGCGTGCGGCACGTGAGCGCGGGCCTAAGGCCCGCCACGCGGGCCTCTGGGCACCAGCTGCGGCGGGCCCTGGAGGATTTACCTGAGCTGTGACGGGGTGGGAGGGCGCGAAAAGAGGGTTATACCCTAAAGCATGACCCTGAGGTGGCTTGAAGCGGGAAAACGGCCACGCGTCCAAACATTCAATCAGATTAAAACAAAGGGAAAATGAAACCCAGAACGTTAGAATCTTGATCACTGCACAGCGCGTGTCCTTTCCCCGATTTGCACCCTGCGGAACCCTTTCTCAAATGCCCCCACTTCAGGGTTCCAAGCAAACGGCGTAAACTTTTACCCCTCTTAGAGCGTTTGCGACGCACTCCGATGCTCCGGCCGCCGCGGTGCGTCGGGCGGATGCAATGACAGCGCGGAATGGGGCCAGAAATTGCGCGGGCAAAATTGAAAGCGAGCATGTCAGCGGCGAAGCTGATTAGCCCACACGTTGCGCTTGCCTGTGCGCAAGGCTGGCACTGACTGAAGCCCATGCTTGACGAGTTGCACAAAAATTTGCGGAGGCCATGCGGAGTGAACAGTTTGTTCAGGCCTTGGATGCAGCATTATCCGACCGGAATGCAGAGGCGGTGCACTGCTTGGCCTTCGGTGGCAAGCGATTCATCAAAGCAAGCTAGAGCGTTGGGCCTCTTTGGTAAGGCATGGCCATTGTTGCTGAACATCATGAAAGTTGCAGGTGTCTGCAAACCAGAAAACGGACCGGCTGAATATCTATGCGATGCCTTTGGCACATGCGTCTGCGTGGTAAGATGGTAGAGGCGTTGGTCTCCGGACCGATGTCAGACAGTCGCCGGGGTTCGATTACCGTCACAGATAATCTTCAGTTTGCCGACGCGCCAAACGGCCGAAGGCGGCGTGAAAAAAAAATGTGGTGTTCTAAAACCTTGGAACCCAGCGGCATAAAGACGCCGTGCACGGGAAGACCAATTTGGCCTTTGCGTTTGGTTCTAAGAGGAAAGCAGGCCACAGGCGTGCTTACGGAGATATGCAGCCCGGTGGATGCAACTCTTTTTGATCGGAGCAGGGCATGCAGCTTCTTCTTCAGTTTCAGAACACAAAGCTCGATGGTTTTAGGAGGAAAAAAACCACAAGCAGTTGTGGAGAACGTTTTGCAGACCTGTACCATACCAATTGGCTACTTCGGGCCCGGTTCTCCGCCCACTGGTCGTGGCAACGCCTGCATTCTTACCGGCTGCTACACGGGGTGTTATCACCCACACAAAGCTTGGTTGTTCGTGGACAACCTTTTGGCCGCTTTTGCACCCGACGCGCGCCAACAACTTCTAATCGCCATTTTCTTTGCTCGGCGCTGAACTTGCTTGTGTGCAAAGTCAAGGCTAGCACCATGAAGGAGGCTGCGTGTCTTCCGCATGAAAATGCGAGGCGAACACGGAGCCATTGGCAAACTGCCTCCAGATTGTGTCATATGCGATTGGGAGGATGCTGGAAGGCCTGCTGGCAGCTTTAACGGCGCAAACATGCGCAAACTGGCAGTTGTCGGATTTGCACAATCCGTGTTGAAATCTCGGCAGATTTGTTTGCCTTGGTGCGTTGCTGCCCAATTGTCACGGTGTTTTCCTTTTCCTTTTCTTTTCGGGCTCGGCTTTGCGAGCTGCGCGTTCAGCTGGTCGGTTGGGTTACGCTGTCCCTTGGTGAGCGGAGGTGCCGCAGGCTGGTTTTCGGGCGCAGCATGAGCAGCGAGTGTGTTTCCATGCGGAAATGCGTATGCTTCTGGAGTAGTAAGGAACATAGGCTTATAGGGACCTAATTATTTTGGTTTTTTGGTCGAAAAACCGCCAAAACAGCCAAATTCTCCATCCTGCTGAACGTTTTTCCGATGTC